TGTAAGCTGTATCTTTTATCTACTTCTAGAGTGATAGCTATATCTATCTTGGAGGGTAGGAAGGCTCTGCAGAGGGATCTGGACAGGTCGGATCAATGGGCCAAGGTCAATGATATGAAGTGATAAGGTGAAGTGCCAGGTCCTGCATGTGGGTCACAACAATCCCTGTAGTGCTACAGGCTTGGGAAAGAGTGACTGGAAAGCTGCCCATCGAAAGGGATCTGGGGGTGCTGGTCAACAGCAGCTGAACATGAGACAGCAGTGTGCCCAGGTGGCCAAGAAGGCCAGTGGCATCCTGGCCTCTATCAGGAATAGTGTGGCCAGCAGGACCAGGGCAGTGATGGTCCCCCTGCACTTGACACTGGTGAGGCCGCACCTCAAGTGTCCAGATCTGGGCTCCTCACTACAAGAAAGACACTGAAGTGCTGGAGTGAGTCCAGAGAAGGGCAGCAAAGCTGCTGAAGGGTCTAGAAAGTAATTCCTATGAGGAGTGGATGAGGGAGCTGGGGTTGTTTAGCCTGGAGAAAAGGATGGTCAGGGGAGACCTTATCACCCTCTACAACCATCTGAAAGGAGGTTGTAGCCAGATGGGGGTTGGTTTCTCCTAGGCAACAAGCAACAGGACAAGAGGACATGGTCTCAAGCTGTGCCAGAAGAGGTTCAGGCTGGATATCAGACAGAATTTCTTCATAGAAACAGTTGGTAAGAATTAGAATGGACTGCCCAGGGAGGTGGTAGAGCCACCATCCCTGGAAATGTTTAAGAAACGACTGGATGTAGAACTTAGTGCCATGGTCTAGTTGACAATGTGGTTTTCAGTCAAAGGTTGGACTCGATGATCTAGAAGGACTTTTCCAACCTATATGATTCTATAATTCTCATATTCACTATTTACTATGCATGAAGGAATTAAAGCATTCTGAATTGAACAAGGGAGATTATGCTGACAAAACCCTAATGACCACACAACTAATTTACTGGGGATTATGCCAAACAAAAATAAGAGCTAATATCTGAGAAATCTGAGGTATACAAATGCGTGAGAAGGAGATACAGTTTTCTCTATGGGAAATGAATCATCTACTTTTTATAAGCCTCATGATACTCAGGCAGTGCAAATATTTATCTACTGCATTGGTAGCACAGTGGTGTAACAAGTCGGACAACTATTTGCAGGCTGTTGCTATATATAAAAATCTATCATTAAGTTACATTGCCAAACAACATGTTTAGAATTCTTTTTTTAAAAAATCCCACTACTCAGAAAATACTAATTTGACTTCTAGGACACCTCTTCACAAAATGACTTAGAAACAGTCATTTCTGAATATCCTTCTATTGATTTTTTTTTTTTTATTCCTGTATATGCGTGTTCGCCCTTTAGGCACATCTTTAATGCTGAGGGATCTTCCCAGCATCTTCCCTGCACAAAAGTATCACAAGAACCTTAGGTGACATTTTGATTCAAGTGAGCTAAACTATAGAAGGTAATATTGTGCCTTTAGCAAGAAAATTAAGACACATAGATCTCCTGACTTCAAAATTTAGTTATTTTAAGCATACAGCAGCCAACCAGGGCAACATGTATTTCCAGCATATATGTTTATATGCTTTATCAGAGTATCTTAACACCATAGAAAACAATCTATCGACTATGCAATGTGAATAGCATCTTAAATTGTGTATTCTTCATTGCAATTTCTCTGTGTAGAGCCACTGACTGACTGACTACATAATTAACGTTACTCAGAAGAAAGAAAAACTTTTATCTCACTAAAACTTATTTATTAAGACGCAGGTGACCACATGTTTCAGACTACTCCTTCTCACACATTGTTTTTTAGGCATGTTGTGACACTTCACTGTTACAAATACCAGTTCATAAAAATGGTAACTTACCTCAGAGATCTGCCTCTGGGCCTCTCAGCAAAAGGCTAAAACTTCAACCAACAGGAGCACTAAAATGTAAAATGAAAGGAAAATAAAACTAAGAATTGTTATTCCCATATATCGATCAAAGTAAGAGGGTTGAATGCATTCATAGAGTTTTAGGAACTATAGTTCCTCTTAAAATAAATAACCTGTCTAACAGCTTTATGTCTCCATGACAGCAGCACTGAAAAGTTTACTTATGGGAAACTCAGTCTTTGTTACAGAACCGTACATATTAGACATTTAAAAAGCCCAGCAAGAAAAGCCCCTTAAGATTTTAAAAACAAAGATCAGATTACAGTTTTTGTCCTATTCATTTAATGTGTTTTTTTCCAATAAGGTGACAGTGGTTTAGAGTAAGTAGATCAAATTCAGTGGCTCCCAATGTGGTTTATGCTCTAAGAAACCTAAGCTTTCTTATACTGCTAAAAGACGTCTAAGAAAAATCCATAAAAACAGTATCCTACAATGGTCCAGCATATTATTTGTCTTGCTATAAACAATAACAACATCTTGAAACACACGATCACAAAATTACACTTTTTTATAGCCCAGATGTATTTCAAACCTTCCTAAATGCAAACCAAGAGCTCTCCAGTCAGCTGTCTTCAATTCTGTATCACAGCAGCTACTTGCAGTCAGTGTTCTCTGTGCCTGGCAGGCATCATACACGCTCTGCACACCCACAGGCAGCGGCTCTGAACACAGGCACACAGCAATCATGCTAATTCCTGGAACGATCAGACGATTGCACATATGCTAATCACCTACCATGAGGACTTTGTAACAACCCCTCTGGATACGGGCAGCATCAGAACCAAACTGCCACAACTAGAACTAATTCAGCTGTGCCTTGTATAAAGCACTGAGTGAACATGTGCACTTTGATCCACCTACAGGGTGGAATGGATCTACAGGATAAAGTCTTCTTTCAACCACAGAAGAAAGTATTAAGCAAGTGATCCAAACCACTAAAGACTATTTCTTAAACAGAAGCTTGGATCCAGAATCCAGTCCCAAAATTCCTATATTCAGAGATCCTTCAAACACTTAAATAATGCCCTTTTTTAAATGCCTGAGCAACAGCATCTCAACTAAAACAATATTAAAGATAAACCACAGAAATCAAACAGAATTACAGAATTGATGGAAAAGACCTTTAAAGTTATAAAACAATTACGAGCACTGTAATTCCACTTCCTACTTGCTTGCACAAGCCACACCACAACTTCAAATGTGATATTAGAAGGGGATATTATTAATCTTTGCCTAACTGATCTAAGAACAGAAGCAATTTTGTTGGGTTTAACAGAAACTAGTATCTATAAATACTAACATAATCATGTATTGTTTATGTTGAAATAGTATCCTGACTTTCATAGGAAAATAAACAGGAAGGGAAAAAATGTATCTTCCGCCTTCACTTTGCCCCTAAAGGTATTTCCTCTAGGAAACCATGGTAATGACAGCATCTGTTCCTAAATCAAATAAGGTAAAAAAAAAATTAAACTCCACCCCAGGTATCTGTGGAGTTGAGATTTTAGTTTTTGGCGTTGTTTGTACTAAAGAGCTACTGTGGCTTCCCTCTGCCTTCAATTCTGAAGAAATGTTAATGTCCTGGGCGTAACAGAAGGCTGTACAAACACTGGGATACCACACTGCTACCTTGGCATTCTGGTAGATGACATTTAACAAAATTAGTTATTCAGCTTACCAGAAACGGACTTTTGTTTTCAACAGCTGAACTAAAATTAGTCCAAAAGTCATCTATAATGAATCTGTATCTATTAATTTTGAGATATTTAACACAAACATACTTGTTGCAAAAATACTGCATTCTTTCTAGCACCATAACAGAAAAACAGAAAGACCCCTTTCTCCTCGCACATTTTTCTTGCTCACTTTTTCTTCTAATTCTTGTTGGTGTTCTGCATGCCCTTTGAAACATCTTACCTCTGTGATTATACATCTACAAAGTTATAATTTAAAGCTTCAACTCAAAACAAAAAAAATCTGGGATTAAGTTTGACTCTACTTCTACTAAACAAACTTTATGCACCACCACAGAAACAAAACTCTCAAGAAAACAAATGTTTTGGAGGCAGGGCAATGCATATTACCTTGAAGATACTTAATGGACTTTGAAGACAGGAGTACGGAAGCAAAAGTGAAGAGGTTTCACATTTTCACTTTCCCCTAGTGGAAGAGCAAGTTATGACAACTTGAACGTCATCTAAGGCTTGTCTTATATATATTATGCAATTGCAATGAAGCAAGAAAACAACCACCCACTCAAGTAGCAGCTCAGGAAGAACAGCATGTGGTTTTCAGGAACGATGCTGCATCTCAACAGACACCTCTCTAAGAGGTGAGGGTGCTTTTCAGAGTGGCGCTTACAGCGCCAGAGATCGGTACTGCGGACTCAAACCTTCCGGCCTAGAAGTTCAGCTTCGCCGAGTTTCGCTACCTGCGGGACGGCGGGTGAAGGGTGAACCCCCAAGCCCCGCAGCAGCACCGGGCAGCGCGCCCGTGTCCCGGCGCAGGGAGCAGAGCCGCACCCGGGGCACGTTCCACGAGAGGAAGCGGCCGCAGGCGCCTGCAGCCCTGCCCTGCCCCGCAGCCCCAGCCACACATGGCTCTCACTGGACAAGGCTGGTGGGCCGAGAGCGCAAACCCCGCTGCAAATGGGCCGGCACACAGCCCGGGGACGTGGGCCGAACCCGGCCCCTCCTCACCTGCACCGGCGGCGCTTCCGCACCCCGACCCCGAGTCCCCAGCCCGCGGCGGCCACGCCCGCTCCAGCCGGACACGCCCGCCCCGCCGCGGAGCGCAGGCGCAGAGCCCCCTGCCCCTCCTGCCCACCCCGCGTCCCGGCCGGGCGGGCGGGCGGGTCGCGGCCCAGTGTGGCTCCGGTTCGGGCCGCGCAATGCTCGGTGCTCGCACAGCGGGTGGGCCGGCGGCCCGGGCGGCCCCTGCCCTTGTGTGCCCCCGCGCCCGGCCAGGGCCGCGGGGCGGAGCGGTCCTCCGGAGGCGGGGGGCGGTGCTGGCGGCGGCGATGGCGACGCTTCATGGCGGTGCTGGCGCGGCCTTCGCCGCGGTCCTGCCGGCCTAGGGCTGCGGCTCCGACGGGAGGCGACGGACGGCCCGTGGGGCCGGGGCCGGACGTGGAGCGAGGTAGCCGGGGTGCCCCTCGGGGCGGGGGGCGCGACCGCTCCCAGGGGCTTCTTGGGACGGGCTGCCGTGAAGGCGGTGGAGTCACCGCCGTGGGGGTGTTTAAGAAAAGACTGGACGCGGCACTTCGTGCCATGGTCCCGTTGACATGGTGGTGTTCGGTCATGGGTTGGACTCGATGATCTCAGAGGTCTTTGCCAACCTGGTCGATCCTGTGATTCTCACAGGCTGTGCCGCCGCTCGCCCCCGCGGGGCCGCTCCGCCGCGGGTGGGGATGCGGGAGGAGGCGGCAGTGGGGAGGCTCCGGCATCGCGGGGCGTAGCGAAGGGCTGGTTTGGTTTTGCAAAAGCTGGGAGCCCTCTGCTCGTTTGAAGAACACTAGTGCGCTTTTTTTGCTTCTTATCTTGTATTTGCTCCGTATCTATGGTTCATTTTCAGTCTAGCGCTGTGGTCGTTTTAAAGCGTAATCATGAGCTTCTGTTGAATATACTTAAAATACCCTCTTGATGAACTGTTTTGTCTTATGAAGGTTTTTTAACATTTAAAAGTTTCTTCTTTGCTCAAAATCTGAAATATAACCGGTGCTACAGACAAAAAAAAAATTAAACTCAGAACTATAATGTTAATATCTATCTTATGATCCCATACAGGTGCTTAGAAAAAGCCTTCAAAGGGGGCTTGTGCTTTCAACAGGGTCCTTTTTGGCTTATGAAGCTCATAAGCTGATTTTTGGCTTTGCTGAGGTTCATGCAAGCTTCAAAGGTAATATTTTCAAATTTTGAAGTATGTAGGATACTCTCATGTGAAAGTTAAAATTTTTAGTGCAAGAATTATAGAGGAAAATGGTGTAATGCTTTTTGATTTTCTCTATTAAGACTGCATGCAATGTGATTTAATGGCAGGATGCTTTTGAATTGTTTATGGGTAGCCTTGTAGCAGTTTAACAAGTGCTTTCAGCTGTCACTGAAAGCAGATCTAGTAGCTCATCCTGACAGGGATGGAACACATGTACAAGGTGTATGATACCTAACTTGCTCCCCAAGCTTTAAATAAATCATACTGAAAAGTTCACTTAGTAACACAGACCAAAGCTTATTTGATTTCTAGAAATTTTTGTTAGTTTAGATTTTCAGTATGAAAAAAGTGTGATTCCCATTTTATCTAGTTGAGCAATACTGAGATTGCATCTCAAAGAGAGTTGAGAAATGCCTTGTATTTTTGTGACACTTCAAAATCCTGCTTTCCCTATCAGAAAACAATATAACAAGTGATAAAATATCCTTTTCAAATTTGAATAAGGATAGTTGCACTGCTGGAAGAACAGTAACAACATCTTAAAAGAGAATATTGTTACAGACTTAGAACTCGTCTATCACATGGTAAATTAAGGATTTTGAGAGTAAGCCTAGCTGAATAGAGAATGAGCCTGACTGGCTATATGCATACTGTGTTGATGCTTATAGAAATAAAAATTCAGACAATTAATTTTTGAGCAAATAAGGAACTGTCTCATTTTCTATAACAGAAGAAGTGTCAGTGAATAGATTTGAGATAGCCACTTGGTACACAAATAAGAAATAGTAATAACAAGGAATAAGGAATTCCTCATTTCTCATGAGCAACATAAATAACACTGTGTAGTCACCTCTACTCTTTTCAGTGCTCCCTCTTGAATCTGGCATTTACATTGCCAAGAAAAGCAATGGTAATGGGCTTTCTTTGCAAAACAAGTAATAGATAAGGTGAAAATAAGGGTAAAATAGAAATACCCGAAAAATACTCCAAAGCAATAAAAGTATAATAATTTGCATAAAAACACCTCGTGGGAAATGTGTTCAGAGTTTTGAGCATTTAGTCATTAGATATGTTAGTAGTGTTAAGGTCAACAAACAAACATAACAGTTTACTGAAGATAATACTGAAGATGTACCATGAAGTTCATTTTAAACACTAAGATCTAAAGTCCAGGTAGACCGTTAGCTTATCTTTGAAAGATAAGACAGCAAGGTTAAAAATTATCTAGATTTATAGTCTAGGATCTTTTTAAACTGAAGAGCAGGCTGCTGTGTTTAATAACCTTTAATGTTTTCCTTCTTCTGTTAAGGAAAACTCTGCTGCCGCTAAATGTGTCTACCCTATTTACTAGGTAACGTCAAAAAGGAAAGCTTATAAACACAAATAATTTTTATGAAGGAGCTTAGAGCTTATGTTTTGTTAAGCATCCAAGCTGTCTTGCTGAAAGCTGTTGTAGTTGCATTAGAGAGGCACTGATTCTCATCCTAGTTGAGCATTGTACATGTTGCTTATTCAATCCTGCTGTACCTGTAAGTTGTTTGGAATGATGGCCTAAAAAAGAGCTATATCATTTTCAGCTAGGTCGTCTTGCTCTAAAATATTTTGTTTATGCTATAATATGCTAATTACCTGTAATTTTTTCTTCTGTTTCCCCAATTTTAATTTCTTCTGAAGTGGAAGAAGTGATAGAACAAGCAGACTACCTGTACGGGAGTGGAGAAACTGAAAAACTGTATCAGTTGCTGGTTCAGCATAAAAATAGGTACTTTGTTACATTGAGACATTACTGTGACTTTTCGGTGCTCTTCTGTATCAGTTTTTCAACAAATATGCTCACTGTAATATGCTGGAGAACCTTGCTTTCACCCTTATATGAGTAGGAAAGGATTCCTAATCTTTTCCCTCCTACTGGAAAAATGAATAAAGAAAGAACTGGTAGCTGTAGAAGATGAGAGTTAACCCTTAAGTTTTTCAGTCCTGCAAAGGAGAGGTTTTTGCTTGTTTGCTTTGTTACTCAAATTTTAAATAATTTTCAAATTACTGCAAAAACTCATAATGTGGCTATGCATTAGTAAAGGATCAAGGTACCTAGAATTCAGGTGCTGAAAATTTTTGAGTCACTGTTTCATTTCTTTTTCACTGCTGACCAGCTATTCTTTCTGTTTTCATTTGTCTAATGTTAGGATTTGAGTCTGAACAAAAAAGGCCCTTGCTTATTTGCAAAAAATATCAAGTGAATTGGGATAAGCTGTTTAAAGTAAAAGCAGAAAAGGGATTGCAAACTTAAGAGTCCATTCCCTTGGAGGAGACAAAACATCTCGCTCCAAAAACATTTTGGTTCTTTTCAGTAGTTTGCAGATCCTGGGTTTGTTTTTTTTCCCCCTTATTTCTCTTTTCCTCCCTTGTTCTTGCCAGGGGTGCAAGTGTAAAACCTGTGAAATTAAATGAAGTTCCCAGCCTGTAAGGGACAGCATATCATAAGCGAGGTGTAAGCTTGTTACTAGGTGTATAACAACACTAATTATTCTCTGAGGAGTAATGATTCCAGTAGCAGTACTTAAGATTTTTGTGACTTAGCTGAAAAATGAGCCTTCTAGGTCCGTGTTACTCTGTTGAATAGAGCAGGACTGCTGTGCTGCGAGAGCAGTGACTCACTGTTACTTCAGATAAGAATAGAAAACTGATACTCTGAGTTTAGCAATAATTCTTATATGATTTTAGATACTTTTAGTTTCTAGTAGTTTTGACTTCAGTGTTCCGGGGCTGGAGATTTATAGCCACACAGATAAGACCTCTGAAAGACTCTAAATTTAAGTCTCTATTAAAATGGAAAGGCAAAATTAAAATGGTTGTGCTCTAAAAGTGCAAGCAGCGTTTCATAACAATGTGAACAAAATCAAATTTTAGATCCTTTATCTTTGGCTATAACCTACCATATACCATTTGATAAACTGATATAAATAAATACATAAACATAAAGCTTTTTGTTCTGGTGGTGTGGCTAATCTGTGTTTTTTCACTGTTCTAGGAAGAATTTAATTATTTAAGTATAATTATAGGAAAAAGATTATAGGAAAAAGAACAGAGTAGTCCTCTTTTCCTTCCGGTGTGTTGAGTGGTACCATTTTTTTTTTTTTTTTTTTTTTTTTTTTTTTTTTTTGAGAAAACAAAGACCTTTCCTAGAGATCTGTTTGCTTTGCAGACCAGAATGGCAGAACAGAAGTATTGTCAGACAGTCTGTAATGGTGGGCTTTCCTTCTCTATTTGTTATCTTGCGGTTGTATATAGCATAGCAGGATGGATGATACAATGTTGTCTTATCACCCACTTGAGATACATTTTGATAGACTGGTTTAAGACCTTTGCTGGCTTTGTTTCCATTATTGCTTTAAAATGTTAGCGTTTCTCTTCCTAACTAGCGATGATGCGGAGTTGTTGTGGCGGCTGGCACGGGCATCACGAGATCTAGCTCAGCTTAGTAGTACTTCTGCAGAGGAGAAGAAACAACTGACTTATGACTCCTTTGAGTATGCAAAAAAGGCTCTTGAAAAAAATGAATCAAATTCTGCAGCGCACAAGGTGAGCCATGCAAAATAACTGAAATCTTGTTTGTTGATTTCTGCTAGTAGAAACTGGAAATGTCACTGTGCTGTGTTAGCAAACTTCAGCATAATTTAACTTTTCAGCTGAGAATGAATGAGACTTCTGATTCTCCCTAACTTTTTTGGAAGATATGAGTTTAGACTTCTCCAGCTAAATTTCCTCTATACAGGAAACAGAAACTGGTTAAATGTATGCAGGACCATGGAGAGAGGTGTGACTGATGAGGTTTATTACAGCAGATGTAATCAGCTCCTCCTCTGATCTAGCCTTAAAAATGTTGTACATGTCCCACATTCAGCATGCTGTTTCTGTATTCTGTAGGGCTTCTCTAGAAGTACTTCAGGCCCTGACTTCATTCTGCTTTTTTTTTGGTGCTGCTTCTCTCACAGGCAAAGTATAGTCACTTGTGTTGACATCTAGGATCAGAAGAGGACATTTATTCCCTTACACATGCAGACCAGCAGGTCACACTGATGCTGCCTCAGCTGTTCACAATAAATACTTCTTGCTTGTTTGTCATTTGTGGTGGTGGCAGCCCTTCTGGTTGCAGGTTTTTAAAAATGAATTATCATTAGCTATAGTGCTGTATTAAATGTTTTATTTTTGTTATTTGAATTACAGTGGTATGGAATTTGCCTCAGTGATGTTGGAGACTATGAAGGAATCAAAACTAAAATTGGAAATGCTATTGTTATCAAGGAGCATTTTCAGGTAATGCAAACGGTTTTTTGCATATGACAGCATCAGTATGTCCAGTGTATAGATTGTGTGACAGCTGGTAACTAATTTTTGGCAAAATATTGAAAGCGTACTTCTGTTTATATCTCTAGTGACTCTTTGTTTTTTGGGTTCTCGTGACACATGCCCCAGAAATGCTAGGGAAACAAGGAGTACAAATTATCTCCTGCAGTAAACTAAATCCCTTTAGAAGAGAGTCCTGAAATAGCTGAAGTGCTTTAGACACCTCTGAGGACTAGATAAAATGTAACAGTGATAGTGAGAAATGGCTCTGTGGCCGTCCTTTGAATTGTGGATTACGTAGTGGTAAAGGACAAATACTGGAAAAGATAAGGGACTACTAATTTTATATTACCAGAGATTATATCAAAATCTGAACACACCAAGTCTCATATGCAACTTTTAATGACTACTAAGCAGAAGTGCTTAGAATCTGTCAGTGTTGTCAGTTTTTTGGAGGTGAGCTGATGTAGTTATGTACTGAATAAATAATATATTGCCTTGAAATTCTACACCTGATGAGGCTGGTTTAATTAACAGCAGGATAACAAGTCTACTTTTTAAATGTATTTTAATCCACATATGTCAGAACAACTTCTTATATCTTGTGTTTTTTTTTTCTCCCCTCAACAGAGAGCCATTGAACTAAATCCAAAAGATGCTACAACAATTCATCTTATAGGGATTTGGTAAGGCATATTTTCAAACAAAATTTAGCATTTGACATAGAAAAATGCCAGAATATAAAATATCTTACATGAATTGCTTGTAATAATTTAGTGACTTGTAATTGATGCAAACATGAAAACCTATTAAACAGGTATGGAACATCATGCCTTGAAAAAGTCTGGCTGTTAAGCAGTTCAAAAAGACGAAAAATAATTGTTCATTTAATTTATTTGTATGGAACTATTAAACACTCGATTGGCAGACATTAAGTTTGCTTCATAGAATCCATAGCAGGCATCAGCAATTCTGAGTGCTGCTCATTTTGGTTTACTGGTGTGAATGGAGTCAACTCAACACTGAATTTCTGTTGAATTCCAGGGATGACTGCAACTTAATACAGTCTGTGAAAAACTACCTAAGTGAGATGTGTTCCTAAAATACTTCTCTTGTTATCTGTCATGATACGGTATTTTCAAAGTTATATTAATAAATGGATTTATAAATTCATATATATTAACAAAAAATCTTTGACATTTAATTTACTGCTCAGTGAAATTGGTACTTGAAATTACTGTTACATAGCAGGCAAAGGGACTGAAAATACAACTTTCCATACAAACCAGGGCATTCTGTGGAAGTGGTGTGATGGAAAGCAGTATTTTTTATGTGTTGGTGAGAGACTCCAGACAGTGCTTTTGGTTATTTGTTTCAAAAAGACCAAAGCTATTACACTGTTTTACAGGAAATCTCTGCTGTGAGATTGAAAATAAAGAAAGCCAATATATTTGCAGTTTAAAAAAAATACTAAAAAACACAGTTACTTTCTGTATGGATTTTTTCAACTCCTGAGTATCAGAGAAAACTACAAGCTGCTGCTCCAGAGATTTCTATTAGTGTACAAACTTACTTTGGTTTTTCAGCATCCACCACTCATTCCCATATGATGCAGCAATTTCAATAGTCCAAATATCTAAACAAAAGCATATACTACCAACTGACTGAGCCTCAAGGTCCGTTTTGAGATAGGAAGCTTGTTCTGGAAATTACTTAAGACATTGTTCCTAAGGAAAATTAGAAAACATGATAAGAAATGTGAGATTATTGCTGCTTTTGGCTCTAAAATATTCCCATGTTGTATGTTTAAATATACTCATTACTGAATCCCAGAGCATCTTCATCTGAAACTGGCATTTGGTATCAGCCAATTCTTGAATATTTATTAATTTTTCACCTCCTCTGGAGTGCTCTATTTTATATAGTGTAATTGTAAACTCATTGTGGGAGGCTACTAAACTGAATGTTTAAGCGTTTAATGTTTACACCTGGAATGTTCTATGGACTTGAAATGCTTCACAAATGTTTTCACCAATAAATAGGTGACTGATCAATTACCTGTGTTATTTAGTAGATAGGAAAACAGTGTAGCATGACCTAGCCTAGAACACAGTGGTTTGATTCTTGGATTTATTTTCATTCTTATAGATCAGAGTCTTTCAGGAATGTACTGCAGATCTGCTTTATATTAATAATTGAAAAAAGCAAAGTAGTGTTGAGGTAAGGCAATGACATTACTCAGTTGTGCCATTTTTACAAATATATTAGAACAAAATACACACATTAAAATCATTAAAGCTCAAAAGCTGTCTCATGCTTAGTAAATGTCTCCAGTTTTACCTAATGTAATTAGTTCCCAGTAAAAGACACATCAAAACTTCTTTAGTAGCAGTTTTGGCCATCCTGCTATTTTCTTGTACAGACATAAGAACATGGTTTTAGAACTTGCAGTGTGTCTGGAGTTTTGACTCTTGAAAACAACACTTATGACATCCAGTTTTTATGTTCAACAACAATTATGAGAGTATTTTGCAAAAACAAGAGAAATATGGGAAGGGTAGATAAAAATGTTTTTTTGCTTCAGGTGTTACTCCTTTGCTGAAATGCCATGGTACCAAAGAAAAATTGCTGCAACGCTGTTTGCCACACCACCAACCTCCACGTTTCAAGAGGTACAGTAGGAAAATGTTTCATAGATTATTATTTTCCCCACAAAGCTGTTGATATACTTTTACTTATGTTCCTGTCAAAGCTGACCTCTGCTTATGGAATAAGCATGGACTTGGGAGTTTACAACTATCAATAATAAAATAAGAATAGAACAGGAGTGGGAGGGATAACTAAAAACTTAAAAACCTTTTAATTTTTTTCAACTGTAGCACACACAGAATAGTGAAAAGTATTCCATGTAGATTATGCAGCAGAAAATAACAAGCTATATGTAACTTAATTTGTATTTACTGTTGTGATCTGTTGCAGATAACTGTCTGTACTAGTGCAGTGCTGATGATTTTTATGGTGCTGTTATACCATGTATTTATTTGATAGGACTATTAGAATTTGTCACTTTAAATGCTAAAAAGCAACAGGTTGCTTTGTTACTTAACATGAGCAAATACCCTCTCATTCCTTGGCCACAAAGGGTGGGATTTTTTAAGTTGAAAATAATTTTTTCACTCTTTGCTATGAAAATTCCTGCTGTCATACGCCCTAAAACATACTGTCCAGATATTTATCTTCTAGGGTGTCTAAAACAGCATGCATCTTATTTAAACACCTGTACATATATAGAAACTTGAAAATTAAATTGGTAATAGGAAAGTTTGCTGCAGCTGTTACAATCTCTGGTTGTTTAGATCAAGTAATAACTGTTTTGTTCTTTTATGGTGGGGGGGAAGGAGTCACTAGGAAGTAATCATAGAAGACTGCTTGCTGTTACACAGAAAGCAATTTGAGGTCTGATTGAAAAAGAAATAAAACTTTTTAATGGAATGTCAAGCTTGTAAGTTTTGCTGAAAATCACTCTCAGAAGAATACAAAACATCAGCCAGGATTTCAAATACTGCAAAATGATGCCAGTCCCAGCATCAAGTTCTGTAGCACTTAAAGTGGCTGAAGAAGCAAACTTGTCCTGGAAGGATTTCTGCAGTTTCAGTACAAAATATGTTTTGTATATACATCCATACTTTTAATTTCTCTGAGAATGTTTTCCCCCCAGCTAGTACCATTAGGAAGAGGTAGAGTTGGACTGAAATTGTGTATGTGCAGGATGGGAAACTGATTGAAAAATATGTGGATTTCAGAAATGTTTATCCTCATGTAAGAGGGTGCTAACTAGTGCTCTGTGGGAGTTAGTTCTCTCTCTGAAGCATTTGTTAACATTAATGTCCTAAATCATAAGATTCATTTCATCTGTTGAATTTATACGTGAGAAGCGTATGGGGAAAACTGCAGATGTGCTGGATGGTACAAATAAAATGCAAAGTTATCTTGACAAGTTAAACTGGAAATACACGATCCGGTTTGCTGGGGACAAACAGGTGGTACTGTACTTAATGGAAGAAGTGGTTAGGGGGATATTTTGGAAAAGTACTAGTTCTGCTGATATAATGTCAAATCTGATTGTACATTGAAGGAGAAGCATCATAGCATGTTGAATTAATAAAAATAAGACCACAGACAGGAAGTCCTTATCCAGCTATTTTAAGCATGCACGTAAGGCTTTAGTTTGTGTTTGGTTTATTCTCCATTTTAAGGAAGACAACTTTGTCTTTTACAGGCGCTACGTTACTTTCACATGGCAGAGGAAGGTAATATTTCAAGCTTGTTTTGACTGAAAAGTATCTTTTGTGAATGATGACTTGCAGTAAACCTCTAGTTTTCGGAATCACCTTAATAGCTGTAGCTATTAATAGTCAGGTAAACCAAACAGTATGGTATGATCAGCTGATAAATGTATCAGCCTGGTGCGCCAGTCAGCACACTGGACTGTTAGGTTGGCACGTTTCTTCAGAGATACTCAAAGTATGCTACACACTTTCTATCATCACTTACAATGTAATGTGAAGGTTTTTTCAGAATAAGTATTAAAGTGAAATTTGTACCTTCCTGAGTAACAAAGTACTCTTCCCCAAGGAATTCAACTGGAGCGCAGGAGAAAGAAGAAATCAAAAGAAGAGAATTTTATGTTATTTTTCTCAAAATTTAGTTCCCTGTATTCTAAATAGAACAACAAAAAAAGCACACTTTTTATTATTTCAGAAGTGATTAGGATCAGAGTGCCAATCTAACTGGCAGTAAAACTGTCCACATGATGTAGAAGAAAATATGAAGGTACTATTTCTCCAAGAGTGAAGTCGTAAGCAAAACTGATTAGCCAAAAGATAAAGGAAGACAAGGAAAGACAGTGTTTTATGAAAGACTTGTACATAGTTAAACCAGTGAAGTTTAAAGGAAAAGCTTGTGTCCTGGGTGTCCCATAAGGCAGCTGTGAGCTGGAACACTGAACTTTGTCTCAAAATTTGCCTTTAAAACACCTCCATATGTTTTGAATCCTGGTCTTAGGTCCAGCAGCAGAAAAAGCCTGCATTTATAAGTATGGACTGTAGGCAAGATTAGCCTTCAATAATGATTGATAGCCAAGCTTGCTTAGTAAAAAGCTTTAAATCTCTACTTAAAAAATGTTGAATGTGGGTACAAATAATTTTAAGTTTTCTTCTGTGCAACAAAAGTTAAACTGGTATCTTTATGTGCTAGGAAATGTACCCTTTTTTCCTTTGCCTATACTTGCTCAGCTGGTTGCATTGCCTGTTGTACCTGCTAGGTCCAAAAAAGCCCAAAATCTGCAAAACAAAGCTGTTACACATTAAGCTCACTGCTTTGCTCTTTGTGAGGAATCTACTTTCATTTAGTAACTAACAAGCTTCTAGTTAATATACTTGTATATGAGACCAAAATCTAGTAAGTAAAAGTTTTACATTGGCTTCCTTCTGATCCAAAGCCAAAAGACTATATGTTTTCTGAAATAAGTATCAAAGGGCTTTGATAATACGCTACTCGTTCTCATGGAAAGCTTTTCTCCTGTCTATGCAGCTGATCCAAATTTCTACAGCAAAAATTTGCTCTTTTTGGGGAAGACATACTTGAAGTTAAACAATAAAAAGATGGCTCTTCTCTGGTTAAGCAAAGCAAAGGAGTATCCTGCACAGACAGAAGAGGACAAACAGGTAGGAAGTTAAGAACTGTAATAGTACAGTCATGTATTGTAACCAACATGTGACATCATGGCAGTGAAATGTTTTATAAAGTTAACTCAGATGAAATTGTAGTTCAGCACCTATTATTCAGAATCACATCAGCACCAAAAAACTCCAGTATGTAGCTAATCGCCCCTGAACACAGTGGCTGGAAATATTCTGTTTATTTACTGTAGAGAAGTGTTACATTTCCTTCTCCATGATGTTTTTGTAGTGCTAACAACAACCCAGCCTTAGCTGTGTTGCTGAAGTTCAGGCAGGCCCCCGGGCTAACCTCTGTCTCTGTGAGCAAATTGACTTTTCGTATGCCTAAAACTGGAAAGGTAGCAATCACATTTTGGAAGAGCTAAAAATCACATGAGCATGAGGAAGAAAAAAAAACCCACGTATATGTGAAAAACTTAATACTGCAGTTCATTCCAAGCCCTAAGGGACAGATTCAGATGGTCTGAATTGACACAAATGGAGGTAATGTATCTTTGAGAGCAAACCTCCAATGCAAGGTGGCATCAGGCACTTAATTACCCTTTGGAACTGCTCAGAAGAATCCTGGTTTGGATGGGTAGGCATCTACTTCCTACCTAAACATATACAGAGTACTAAGTCATTGCTAATTGTTTTTTCTTATGGTTGATTGACCTCTAATTTGTTAAGCATTAAGCTACAGTGTGAGATGCTTTAACTGTTACAAAAATCATCCATATGGGTTGTGACATTCTAATATCCTAATTGTTAGAAATACTTTGGTAGGATTTTTCATTTCACACCTCAGAAAAAACACTACTGAGGTAGTCTTACAAAATCCCTCTGTAGATTTGCTGGTAAGGCTCAAACTGTTTCTTCCAAAAGTGAGCTCCTTTAATAACACCTTTCAGTAGAAATACGAGAATTACGTTCCTCCACTGCCTTGTAAAATCTATAGGAATTTAATAGCCTAAAGTAGTAGTGGTTTCAGGTGTGTATGAAATTGGGCAATTCTTTTGACAGTTACTAGTAGCTAGAGGCCCATGTGAAACCAGTGATCCTAAAAGCTTGCCTTTTTTTAAGAACCACAGAAAAGGAATAGTCAGGAGTGAATTCTGTGCTGTAGCCAAGTTGTTAAACCATTTATCTGCTGCAGCCAGTCATGGCCTCCTGGTACAAACATCCATTTCCTGATCTTCTAGAGGGGTGCAGAGCTGCTGAACTGAGAGAGGTGGTATTCTCTCCGTTCTCTGGGTGAATGTGTAAAGTGCAAAATTCATTGGGAGCTAGACTTGGTAGTCCACTATGAAGGAAAGTGGCCTGTGCAAAGACATTTGAATTCTTGTCTCAGCATAACTAGGTTTTCTGAACATTTGTTACTGCAGATACTCAGAGGTATCTGGCTTATGTTGTCTGCACTGCTTGCTTTGTCAGGAGGAGTTGGAGGGTCTTTTTGTAGTTTGGGGGGCGGGGGGTGGTGGTGCTGGGATTTTTTGGTTTTTTTGGGTTTGTTTGGGGGGATTTAATATAAATGTTAGAGGTCATAATAAAATCGTATCAGATTTTACCCAGAACCTCGAGGCAAAGGGAACCTCAGTAACTGTCTTCTCACACTCTCATACCTGCTGTCCAGAATCTTGAAAACTCTGGGTTGGTTGAGTATGGTCAGAGGTAGGACAACTCCCTACATTGCTACTATTGGACTACAGCAAATAAAGAGCTAATCATCTGTATCCAACACAAATAACCTTACTATATATAGAATGAATTACACTGAAGACACTGGCTTAAGTGGTTTTATTCTTATTCACGTTTCAAGTATTGAGCACCTTGAACTACAGATGAAAAATGACTAGTCTTAGGAGGATTCTGAATATACAGAACTGTGGTGAAATGTTTGAGTGCTTGTGTGGCAAATTTTGCTAGAAGAGCCTATATAACTACTTGGCACTCTTTTGTTACCATTTATTTCTTTCAGGTACAGAAAGAAGCTTTGGAGCTGCTTAATTCTATATAAGAAGAAACAAAATAATGGGAATTCAGTGCCTCAGGTTTGAGCAGCATAGGAAAAAGGCCCCAAATACTACTTTGGTTTATTGAAGCTGTTAATAAAAGTATAGCCCAGACCTTCTATCTCCATATCATTTCAATTACGGTGTCAACTAGAAGATGTTTCATTATGTGATCGTCTCTGCTGATTTGTATGGGAATGAAGGGCTTTATGGACAACCAAGGAATATATAGGATATATTAGAGGGGAAAGGCTGGGAGAGGGGTTGCACAGGTTTTTAATTAAGTTTTTTACACTCTTACACTACAAGTCGTGTATGAGGAATAATAAGAAACATGATTAGCATAAGTTTAAAAAAGGAGGGACAGGGCCATGACAATTTTAATTCTGCAATTTTTTCTAGAGCGTTTTGCTGTGGGGTTCAGTGGTCTTCAAGAGTTATAGATGTTCACATTATTACCTAAAGATTTCTCTTCAAGCCTGCACCATCTTAATTCCAATACTCTTAAATGCTAGTGTTTGCAAAAAGTGCTGTGGTAAAACAAACAAACAAACAAACAAACAAAAAAACCCCCACAAGTAGGGAACATCAAAGAAAATTTATGGGTGATATCAGCAGTGATCTGTGAAATATGACTACTTACTTTTCTATTTAAAGGCTGTGAATTCTGATGATTTTGTGGCTGTAAATGTTTGCTGGGTACACACAATTTCCCCTAGACTGACAACAGGAGGAATACACACTCCCAGTACATTAGAAAGGAACTGCTATGTGGAAACGTGTGGACTTCTGTTTCTAAAGATAAAATTTTCTACTTGGTCTTGCTACCATTTTAGCAGGAATTTTCACCAGCAATATAAAGTTACATATCCAGCATAGAAAACAATTACAAACTTTCCAGACAGTATATTTGGATTACCCAAGAGAAAAAGAGGACCAAATAATGAAAAGATGGTAGGCAATCAATTACATGTGGTATTGTCAGTAGAACAATCTAGATCAAATTGACTATAAATACCTAATGTTTGCTTTACTAGAAAATCTATAGGGGGAATATGAAGAACAGCATAGTTGATAAGACTCACAAACCAAGCCTGGTCTAAGTCAGTAGTAAAAATTAACAGCTGAGAATCTGAGCCTTTAATTCTAGCCTCAGATTATGAAACTAGGTTAAACAGGGGGGTTGTCCACTAAAGTAATTAAGTAATTTAGAGTAATTTTCTATTACTATTTTCTATTATAAATATTTATAATATTTTCTATTAGTAGAGCATCAAAATGAAGTCTTCAGTGTGGCAGCATCTCAGGGTGGATGATATGGTGTTTAGGAGAATTTTCTGCATTCATGTACTACAAAAACATTTGCCATACACAGATTTGCCTCCAGTAGTTTTGTGGCACAGGCACCTTACTTAGGTGCCTTTTCTACTGCTGCACAAAGAGGAAGGATATCCAGGTACTAACAACTGTTGAGTGTGTAGTGAAAACCAGCTGAGTTGCAGGAAGAAAGGAACCAACAAAACCCATGAACTACACAGTAGTTCCTTCAAGTAGTGTTACCTCAATGGTTCCCTTGTCTGAGCTCCAGCCTTTGCTGTCTTCCCTCTCTTCAGTCTTACTCACTCCCCCCAAGCAGAGGTGAATTATGGGGAATTCAAATGGGAAAAGAAAATATTACAGTGTAGTATTACTGAAATTCCCTGAAAGTTTAAGTTACCTGTACACACATGCACATGAGTATATTAATTGTTATGCTTTTTTTTCTCCAGAGCCATGCTTTCAGTCAGTCCCTTGGCACCAATTCACAATCATATACATGTACAGAAGGCTACTGGGTTTGTTTTTTTTATTGCTTACTAACCCTTACCCACAGGAAAAACTACTGCATTTATGAGACAGCTAAAGTTATCAAAACAATAAAGCAACTACATTCTTGTGGTGTGCTGTCTTTATTATTATTATTTTGTTCAGTTACTCAGAGATTCACAAAATTCAGCAGTTGGTAGAGGGCCATTAAGTCATTCATTAGTGCAGATTCATAAAGTTTAACTGTGACATTCAGCTTTCCTCATTGTCTTTTAGGCAAGTCACACACACTTCTGGTTTTAGACTTTTTTTTAAACTTCCTCTATTCTAACGCGTGTAAGTAATAATTAAAGTGGACTTGCACTTGAAACTGATGTAGTGCTACATGAAAGTGGTTTTGTAGAAGATATTTGGTGTTGTATGAAAAACCCTCAAGGTGGTTGAAATTCTTGAAGCTCTTACAGAAAAGTTCATGCAAATAGGTAGCCTGTTGGGCCCATTGCACTACCAGTGTGCCCAGAGCTATACACAGATTAACAGCTCCACTTTAAGATGTGCATACTGAATACAAAGCCTCGAGACAATCCAATATGTAGAAAAATAAAATTTTGGCAGAATTCAGTTGCTGTATTGGAAAGATACATGAACAGATACAGCTATTTTTTCGCATGTACACTTTTAACAGTGCAATATGATATGTTACACAAATGTGTTTAATCATATTCTAAAATCATTTTCACGTGTATACAAAATTCTGTATAATTTAAATGTAATGGAATTTACAGCTAATATTTAAAGCATAATACAAATGGTGATTTCAAACATGTTTTTACTCTATAATAAGGAAGCACGGTTTGCTAAAAGTAGCATTTAATATAAATCACATGAATAAGGTGTTAAATTTTAATATTTTTAAACATATCTTTGCAGTTCAGCAAATGCCCTCAATGCCAATAAAACTAATTTTAAAATGCTTTTATGTTACTGTGCACTTAGGACAATCTTGACCTACCTAAAAGAATGACAGGTTTTAGACATACTTAATTCAAGTACGTCTAAATTTCTGTAAGAACTTTAGTGGAATGAGAGAATTTAATACTAAATAATATTTTTATCTGTGCAAATCTTAAGTAACTTTCATTTTATTTGGGTTTACTAGATCCAGTAACTGAAACTGAACATGAACACAGAAAGCAGCAAAATTCACATTACCTTTTGTATACTTTTTGTATACCCTTATAGCTCAGTTTACATTAATATAACTCTACAAAGTTACAAAAAGGACATCATGGATTGAAAAGGGAAACCAAAACAGGAAAAAAAAAAAAGAAACCTGCAAGACACCAGACCAGGAAGAGAATGGGTAATATTTTCTCTTTTATTATTATTTTTTCTTTGAAGATTACCTAACATCCTCATGGTAATAACCCAAGGTACTATGTAAACAAATTTCAATGCTGCTCAAATGAATTAAAATACTCTGTTCAGCTCCTCCAATAAGTCAGAACAGTGGCACCAACTCCTTTCAACATTAAATCACATTCATCTTATTCTACATGACTCTTGTGCAAGTAGTAAAGGCTTTATTCATGACCTTGGCTATATCAGTAGAGAGGGATATATCAGCTATTTAGGTATTAAAAAAATTAAACTGACAGAAGAACAGATTCTGTCATCTCAAATACCAGCAGCATCTTTCTATATATTTAGGATACGTTTGGCCTAAGCCTTTAACACCTTTTAGAATAGCCATGCAATAAAACAAACTTGGAGATGTTTCTTAAGTGAACACAGAGCAGTTTAAACATTTTTCTGAATGATAAAGCCAAGATAAAGCAAATCCAGGCCCTTTTAAATGGCTGCAACTTTTCATACCCTTAAAGCTCTATAAAACTAGAGCCCATTAGTATATATATATTTATATTTTTATATATATATTTTAAATAAGTCTCTTGTCTGCTTTCAAAATTTATGGAGGGGTTTTTCTGGTCTTTTGGGAGGGCAATAAATAAAAGTAGAAAAGGCTGAACTGTTTTGCATATATTTGTGGAAGAACAGAGAACAATTAAACTTTTAGAGTTCCAGAAAGATCACTGTACAGAACAAAAAGCTTATATACAATTAAGTGTGCAATTTTAGTTGGCTGGGCCTTTTATTATGCAAGATATCCATTTTGACTAGAAGCTGCTTCTACTCTTGACCAAATCCCTCTGTTTCTTCAATGGCAAAAAGCAACTTCTCTTTTAGTTGTTCATAGCTTTTATATGGTGGCAAATCCAAACGATTAAAACTGAGCAGAAAAAACATAAAATTTTGTTAACTTTATCTAAATCCCATGTAGAAGTCTACAGAAATTGACTGCTATAGTAGAAGTTACAAATGTTCTGATCTAACAATTAGAAACAAAGAAATAACAATCAGCACAATCTCACTGCCTTGAAATTTCTACAAGCAGTAAAACCAGATAAAGTTTAAGACAAATACTTAAAGAAATAAAAGACTGTTACCAGATAAAAACCCAAACCTTTGAAGACCGAAGACAGCCCAAGATTAGAGGACTATAATACTTAGCAAAAAATATAATATAAACATAATACTTAGAAAAAACCCTATAATACTTAAAAAATGAAAAGGAAATTTTCAGCATGAAGTTTAATATAATCCTAGTTCGATGCATCTCCAAATTTTAACAACAGTATGAACAAGCTGAACTTGGCTCCCTCCTACATATGCCTGGATATAGGTTTTTCCCCCTAAACTTTGCCCTAAAAGGCTTCTGCCAAAACTGTTTCATTCCATGTCTTCCCCCAAATTATCATAGATAAAGAGAGATGTTTAACTCTTGCAAACATCACTTAAAAAAATCTAGTAGAGAAAATGTGATATGGAGAATACCCTAAAGTGGTTTAAAAGTATGACAAATATTATTGCCAAAGGAAAGTGTGTCCATTTTGCACACAGGATATATGAGAAACTGATCTGTGTACCTGTTGGCACCAGTTTGGGACAGGAATGCCAAGCCAATATTGGCCCATCTGAAGCCTAGGTGGGAAAAAGTATCAGCATTCTTGGCTAAGCATCCTTGTTTCGGATATTTGCTGTGATTTCTTTCACGTTGCTTCTTCTCATGACTATACATTTTATCTTTTATAATGTTACTACATAATAACTGTATCTAATTACTGAATGTGCCTAATACTAACATGACTTGTTTAGGTATTTAATATTCTCTAAAATAAAGAATTAGGGAAACATCTCTTAGTCCTATGCATGAAGGATATTCTCATACTTTTGATAGATACTGACAAACTGTGTTCAGCCCAGTAGCTATATTTAAGAATAGGGCAACTAGAAAAGTTTTCAGTACTGGCATGTCAGGGCAATGAAATGAAGCTGAAGATGGAGACAGAGAACTGATTCAAATTAGATTTCATTTGACTTGGTGAGTGCAAGACCGGAAGAGAGAACCACTAAAGGCACAGGAAGTTTACATGTAAAAACTCACCAAGTGTGACTTCTTGGTAACCAGGTTTCCTTACCAACTTTTTCAATGCAGAATTTCTGAGGACCATTACTTCCTAGAAAAGAAGATTTTAAAAGTGTAATCTGTTCCTTTTAAGTAGCACACTTGATATATACATGACATAAGACACAACTCAGATACACCAGACAGAGCTCATTAGGTGCTACTCATCATTACATGAGTATGAACATGCTTCTCATACAAATGAGCCAATTTCCAAATAGTTTATAAATATATTCATGGGATTTCTGACATAAAAAGCCCTTCTAGATCCAAGGTGATAAACCTGAAGTTCCTGTTATCTATACAACTGCAGGATGGTTCATTTGCAAAGGAAACAGTTACAGTATAACAACAGTTTTGGTCCCCTTTTACTTACCCATAAGTTCAGCAAATCCACCCAGTGGTAATCTGCAAGTGCCAGTGACAAACTGCAGAAGCCGCATGCGAACCTCGTTGTCTGTTTCTTTTACAAACTAGGCACAGAAATTCAAATTACTTAATAAAAATCTTTAGCTGGAGAAAAACAAAAACCCCACAAGGTAGTTGAAAAAGTATAGTTCCATTTAAAAATACACCGCCTTGGCAATAGTTTGCATTTCTTGATTTTAGCAAAATTGGTTGGAGAGGGAAGACAGTGATTTCAGATTATATGCAGTGTCAACAGTGTCAACCATTAAAATGTGAAGCCTGGGAACAGCAAAAAAAAGAAGACTCCTTATCTATTTTATTCTACACTAAAATATAAATTATGCCAATGTTTTATATGAAGGCTACTGCCATTTTGATTAAGCACAGCACTAGCCTAACCATAGGCTCTGGGTATTTCAAGACTGAAATATTCCATGCGTGTGGAAGTCTCAGAGAAAACCCATCCATAACAGCTGCATCACTTTGTACAGGAATTCACAGGGAAGGGGAGAAGAAAAAGAGAGGGGACACAGAGAACATGTCAGTAAGAGAGGAGGCATTGATACACCTAGAATTTTGACTCAGAAAAACTTGCATATAAATGTTGATATCATATCCAAGTTACTTAAACTTCTGGTTAAGATCCTTTCAGTATCAATAATTTAAAGAGAGATATCAGATCTTACAATATAAACAAGCTAGGAAGTAATTGATTTGCATCATTTTCCTATAGCAACTTAGTCAAAAGCATCTCTAAAACGGTTATTTATCACAAGATAGAAACTGCCTGGCTCTGACTTCTCTTTAGAAAACTTCATAGAAACTGTGAGCCTGAATAGCATTTTGGAGTGTTTTTCGTTAGCCAACTTCATTAAAATTAGTTATAATTAGTCAGTGCTAGACCAAAATAGTTAATATGACAATAATCATAAACAATATGCAGCATTTTAGATCATCAAATCATAGAATGGTTTTAGTTGGAAGGGATCTTAAAGGTCATCCAGTTCCAACTCCCCTGCCATGAGCAGGGAACCTTCCACTAGACCAGGTTGCTCAGAGCTCCATTCAGCCTGGCCTTGAACACCTGCAGGAATGGGGCATCCACAGATTCTCTGGACAACCTGTCCCAGTGCCTCACCAGGCTCACAGCAAAGAAATTCCTAATCTAAACCTACCCTCTTTAAGTTTGAATCCATTGCCCCTTGTCCTGTCACTACATACTCTTGTAAAAGTCCCTTTCTGTCTTTCTTGTAGGCTCCCTTCACATACTAGAAGGTGAAGATGTACAGGTCAACTACACATAGGAATATTTAGAAGGTAGATCCCTGTTAAGAATACAAAAAACTCATTGTATTATCAGTAAGGACAAGATACAGAAAAAATATCCATGACCCAGCATCTAAATGTAACGTATATATCTATCTGCCATTTCTCACCCTAAAGTATGCTCCCTAAAGACCAGTAATTCTCCTTTTCTTCTCTGAAAAGAAAAAAGAAAGGAAGCCCTAAGAACCCTCATTTGGATGGCATCCCTCCTCTCCACGTCATTTGTGTTACAGAACAAAACAAAGAAGTCAGAAATTTTACTGATTAACACACCTGCCAGAACCATATGATCTGCTTGCTATTCCTTGTATAATGACGATAAACAGTGTTCCTCTGCCAGTCTGCTAAATCAACTTCTTGCATACCACAGAGCATAACCTAGAAAAGAGAATGATTACTTCACATTAAACACATAAATTAAGAGTATTTTCTATCTTGTATGAAACATGGTAACAAAAATGGAAGTTCTTGCTCTGAAAAAAGGACTGGTAATTTTTTCATTTTACTCCACAGTTAGGTTTTTCTTTATCCTAAGTTTAGAGAACTCCTCCAAATTTGTTTATGTATTTAAGTGGTCTGAAAGACTGAATACCAGAAACTTGGTAAGTTCCAACTAATAATTCATTAATAAAAGATATTACCTTCCCCTTAAAAGTAATTTTTATATTGAAGAGGATATTTCCCCTCTCATTAAAACTTTGCCTTATATTCCAAGATGATGGTGATTACAATGCTGCTACTGCTACTACTAGTAAAGATAAAACAAACTGCAAAAGTATTCATTACAAGAGACAAGGAAAACTGAAAGTTCTAAAGGCAAAGCCTCCTATAAAACTGAATGCTAAACAAGATTGATCAAAGTCCTTTCTCAGAAAAAGCCTCCCATTTAACTTGGGAAGCTTTCAGAAAACTGCTGATTATATACAGGGAACCTTGGCAGGTCTCACAGAAATAAATAAGCATAGCAGTACAGACCCTTTTGTCCCTGCTCCAAATCACAACCTCAAGAGTGAACACAGGCCAGGTCGATTGCTAAGTAAACACGGTGCATGCAAGTAATTCCTGTTATCAGCCCTATGGCTACATCCTGAGGATCTGCAAATTTCAGTTTCAAACCTTGTTGGTTCCTCCATTTTTCTGTCCTTAAAGGTAAGAACCCCAGAACCTATCCTAGATTCTGTATGTGATACTAAGCGATCGTTATACACCAGAATCAAGTTCTGTGTCATCTGTTACACGGTGATTCTACCCATCTACCACAGAGGAAAAGGTTTTCTGTGACTAACAGATCCATCATGATCTCACAAAACATTGATTCAATAGTAATGGCTTTTCATCATGATTTAATCCCAATGCTCCTATTAAGTTCTCCGTGTTCCAGAATCCACCAAATGCAGCATGCACAGAGAGAGAGTTAAGCTGACCTATCCGTTTAGTCAATCCATATGTATTACCTTTGCAAAAGGTAAAAATGTTGAACAGAAAACCTCACCTCCAGTTCCTTTTCGTCAAAATAGTGTAGCCACTGTAGAGGAACTACTTCATTAAAACCATCAAGAAAAGCTTTGGTTTGTTCTCTAACTCCCCGAGAAAATCGCCACTCTGCCATTAGCCTGGGATGGAACAAAATCAAAGGTGAATTAAACATCAATCAGCATTCAAGGTGAAGTTCAAACATGATTGTGTGTGTGTTCCCACGAGGTAACACTCCCTCAAATTTTACTTCTTACACTGTATGATTCCATTAACTATAAAGAACCTAACATACTAATGTTATCACAGATCTCCAAACTCAGATAACAATCAAAGTAGCAAGATGTACTTAGATTACTGTTCCAGTTTAGAAAAAAAAAAAGTTATTATTAACCTTTCATTAATTCAGCAGCCTTTTCATTAAAATAATGCTACTTGGACATTATGACTTTGTTATGAAAAAAATTTGATTTAGCTTAAAAAATGCATAATCCTAGTATTTCAATGGTAGAAAAGAAAAATTTCCACGGATTTTCAAATATTCTCTTACAAAAAACATCATGTAAGCAGAGAATAGTAAGAAATACTGTTTCTTATAATATTTAAAACTATCATTGCCCAATACTTCTAGCATAAGACTACTTCCAGCTTCAACAAACAGAAGTAATTTTCTGTTCTGAGCTCACTGACACTAAGATTTGGAGGAAGAGGTAATGTGTTCAAAGTTTCAACTAAAATGATCAAGCCACTTCTGAATAATAATAATAAAAAAAATTTAAAAATAAGACAAGAAATATATTTTTATATATATACAAACTATTTCTCTGACAAACTAAAGACCATTAATTTAAGTGGAAACTTTATGAGCGGCACTGGACATACACTGAACCACAGAAAAGGATCTGTGTACATCTGCTTTTCAGATCACTGAATAGATGGATCAGAAACACATGTTCCAAAAAAGAAAGACACTGATAAAATTAGGAAATACACCATTCTGAGTTTCGGTTGCCACACTGACAGCAAAGTTCTGAACGATTTTAGAATCTTCTGTCAAATACATGTCTTTCCCTCCACTGGATTTGTCACCTGCAGTTACCGAAAACAGGCTTGCTCATTTTCAGTTTGACCTGTTCTCTCATTGTACATCTAAGAGCATGACAGATCATCTTCTCTCCACATGGTCTCTTTTTGTACTAACAGATCATATGTATCAAGAAAGCAACATGTACCAAAATACTGTTTCAATAACAGTCACAAGAATTACATAGTAACATGGGAAGGAAAAAAAAAAAACCAAAAGCAACATTGTGTCAAAAAAGATTAGAGCAACAGCAGAAACATGGAACACTTTTTTTCAGCATCTACATCTTCCTACCCAATATATTCTTCTTTGTTCTCCTCAGTTACCAAGATATTTGAACCTCCTGATTTCAGCTCATGAGAGGTTACTTTTCCTAAGAGCTCCATATCGACACAAAAGTACATTTCCAAGTTACACTCTTCGATGTTATTATCCCTGGATAAAAAGAAAAAAAAATAGTGCAATAAATTTTATATAAACAAAAAAATCCATAAAATATCACACACACAAAAAATAAACTACAAACCTTATCCAAATTAGGGAGTTGTAAAATTCAGTATCAATAGATTCTAGATCCTTAATAGTAAGTTTTTTGCTCAGCATTCGTTTGTAGAAAGGCAGAGAAAAACCAGTGTCAATAAATTTCCCATGAAACAATGCCTGTTGAACAGAAAAAGTCTGTTTAGCTTCTATTGAACTTTTATTGAAGTGTTTCTGGACTTGAAGTCTTTTTTTCCTTTCTCCTTCAAATAACACAAAGCACCAAATAGCAGTAGCAGTTTGGTATTTTAAAAGTACAAAACATTACATTAAATGGGAAGCAAAAAAAATATTTGACAAAATTATCCAAGCATATGTTATTACAATTTAGAAATTCTTTGATTAAAGAAACCCCTTCTCATAAAAGGATTTCATCCTTTCTTCACTTTATTATGTGAATAAGCATAATTGCCAAGTGTTATTTAATCCTACCTGATCATAATATTTTATTCTACTTGGTACTACTGCCATTTTTTACTACATACATACATCCAGCAAAATCATCCTTTACAGAATGCTACTGCAGCTTGTAAGAAAGAGCTCTGGGAACCACATTTTTTATAGGTGAGTAACAGAACCGAGAAATTAGGTTCTCCATGAAACTGAAAAAAAACAACCCAAAACATGGTCACACTTGTCTCATCACACATGCACATAGGTATAAGTTAATTTCTACTACTGAAGCACAGCACTACACACACACACACACACACACACAGTGTTAACCTCTACACTGACTCAGTGCATCTGAGAGCTAATGGAGCACAGCTATCATCCTAAATATAGGCCATGGATGGCATTCATTGTTCCTCTTTCCTCACAGCTGAAATTCTATGAGCAGAAGAGCCAATTAACAGCCCATTTCCTCTAGGCTCCATCTTTTTTCCTGATCTTATTTCCCCCCTAAGGCTTAGTCTACCATGCATTTTCTTCTGCTTTAGGAGAGCTTAAAGAGGCTCTCTCGGAGGTCTTTATTTATTTGTTTATTTATCTATTTATTTATTTTTAAACTAGTCTCTACGTCTTACAGTAGAGTGAGCTGATAGAAACTGAAAAATTCAATGTCAAGTGCAGCATCTAGGCATATGATTTTCTCATTTTTGCAAAGGTAAGCTCTTAAAATCATCTCATTTAATGTGTATGATAACAGCAAAATATAAAAGGTGCCTCAGCCAACTTCATTTAACAGGTTTTTGTTACAGAGTAAGATGTGTATTCTTTGTGTTTAATCCTGTTTCAGTTGAAAACCTCTGTGGTGACTTCAGTACGTAAAACTAAAAGAAGTTACAACTATTTTAGAACTGTGAGAAGGTCAGAAACTGCAACTGCACCTAAAAAGCCTATCTAGACTCCTTAAAATGATTCTCAGTTACATTACTACCCGAGCTATTTTAAGCCACTGGAGGGTATCCCAGGAAGCACTGCAGAAAGTACCATCTAGTATAAACCATGACTACACTCAAACCTTGAAACAGACCACATTAGGCACCATTCCACAGCTCTCTCTCTTGTCCAGCTGAGAGAATTTAAAATGCAAGCACATAAATACTTCAGGAAATAAAAGTTTGTCTTTTAATTCCACTAATTAGTTTAATTAAATTCTCTACTATGATTTGTATTGTTATGAATTAGTTTTCCTAAAGTTAACATTTCAAGTATGGATTTATCTTACACACAAGATCAAAAATCACCAACTAAAAGAAACAAAATCTGGCTCTAGCACCTAACTGGCTATATCACATATTCCTGCTAAATGGCATTCTAACTTGCTGAGGGTTCTAAAAGTAAGAAAAAAGTTGGCAGCCAATTGAAAGCATTAACCCAAAGAGATAAATTGTCATGACAGTACAGAAATGGTGAACTCAGCCATAAAATTCTTGGAAGCAGAGGTGTTACTGTCAAAACTGAATAAATATCTCAGAAAGCATCTATAAGAAAAGCAAAACCAAGAAACAGCCCAAACCTAAATTATTATAAGTCTGATAATATTTTTTCATTTATATTACACTTGGCTTGTATTTATTCTAATTTCGTACAAAAAGCCTGAACAACAAAAGACAACATTCTCTTCAATATGAAAATGTACTTTTATCTACTCTTTTTGGTTTCACTATTCACCATGTTCAGGGATGTTGCTGAGGACTACCTGTAGACATGATGATTATGTGGAAAGATGACTGTATTGCTACATGGAAAGAAAGAAATGTAACAGAACAGGAGTCACTATAGAAAACCGACACAGTGACACCAGAAGTGACACAACATGCCTCCCCAACTTCTAGTTTACAAGACTAGATGGCAGAGAACCAGCTCCCTAACAGCTTCTGTTCTCCTCAGTGTTTGACTTTTGTTTCCAAGCATGTACAGTTAAAAAAAGGCTCAGTGTACTCTGCATTCTAATTTTTTCAAATACAGTAAGGTATACCAAGTCTAACTGAGGAGCCTTTTTCACAAAATACTAGTCACATTTTTCAGAGCATCGGTATTCAGACACTCAATCAAACAGTGGTTTGCATGAAGCACACACATCCAATTGATGAAAATAAAATATTATACTGAATGTCATATTAATTTTCATCACTCTCCCAGGAGACATAAATGCATAAGAGACTTAACTCTTAGGGAATATTTTGGCTCAATAACCTTATATGCTTTTAATCTTCCATTTCTGAGAGATTAATATAACCTTTAATAACTGTAAAAACAAATACTATTCAGGAATAAATGTATAGCTACAGCAAATATAAAACCTTAAAAATCTAACCTACCATGGCAATAAAGCGCCCAATGAAACAGAAATATGAAAGATGGTCAGGATTGATTGTTGATGCTGGATTTATCTGCAGGCAATAGTTGCTCTTGCCAGCATACTCAAATAGGCAGTACATAGGGTTCAGTACTTCATGGGAAAGCAAGAAAAACCATTCTCTAAGGAAAAAAAACATGTATACACATAAAAACCATCAAATACAGATGTTTATCATCATTCCCCTTAGGTAACTAGCAAAATGGTCAAAATATATGCAAACTTTGAAAAATACAGTGTTGTATAAGAATCACAGAATAATATGTGGTATTATATACTTCTTAAATATAAAAAATTCATTATCAAGAACAATAATGTTAGAAAGTCATGGGTTTCAAAGTTTAGAAATGATAGTTAAGGCTGTCATCTTGAACACACCCTCAGAGCACAGGTTTTAGATGCCTATTAGTAATACTTTTTCTTACAGTCCTTGCCTCAACCAGTACACAGCATTTATCCTCCTCACGCCTGCTTTACTGTCTACAACCCAAATTTTTATTCAAAAAATCACAGATTATTCCAAGCTTATTATAAACAATTTAGATCAAACAAAACAAAACAAATAAGCCTAAACCTCAGTACACCTTATTTGCTTTCCCAATCTGACACTGAGTTACTGTGGTTTAACAAATTACCATGCATTAGTTAAGCCTGCAGAACACAACAGTGTGAAAATGTCTTTGTTGAGATTAAATGAATACATGTTATTCGCCACTTTAACAGTTTCCAGCTCAGCTAATCTGAAATAATACCAGAATCTGGTATTTAGTGTTTGGATAGGTGATTTTTATATTTGTTGCTTTATAATATTTATATGTAATCAGAGATCTCAGAAGCAGTCATATATTCTCAGGAAGTTCTGTATCAGGCACTAAGTGTTCAGTACTAAACAGCCACGCTTAGGGAAAACCTATAAAAAGCTAGAAGTCTATCCTATAATAAGTGCAGGGAATGAATTCCATTCTAACTACCTTTCAGCTGTCACATTTGAAAGGCATCTTTTCTACTCCTGTATTTACTTGAGATTAGGGAATAGAAATGAGATTTGCTGGAATGTTTCTCCTAACAGTTCTATGACACTCAAGTCATGGATCATGATTCGCTATGATATATTTCCAACTCAAAGGCTAAGAAGAAAGAGTAAACAGAGAAAGGCAGCCAGGATATGATAACCCTAACAGGGTTCTGTGTATCTTTCAATAAGTATGAGAATGTTGTACAGCATTCTGTGCAAGTTTTATACTAAGACAATTATATTAACTCTATATAAAAGTATAAAATTTAATAGGCATTTAAATTAGAACAAAGTCAGACAACAAGGGAGGAATTAAATAAATCAGTCATCAACAAAAAGTTTGGAGAAGCAAAGAATTTTTCACATCAACAGCTAAAACTTGCCACAAGACACAGTGTCAGATTGGTCCTGCTAAATGCAAGGTAAGGTCTGAAGGGAGCACCGAGTCTAGCCTGCTGCAAGACAGCTGATAAATCAGGGCATCAGCTTTTTATATTTGTATTAATGCAGTAGTAGTCAGTACCTGAACATTTACTCAGTGTCATTTAAAAATTCTCAGCTCAAGCCACAATGAGATCCTTGCTGCTTCTCAGGACCACATAAAAAATCTTGGGTAGGACTTAACTAACTATGAAACTATACTACTTAAGTATTTATTATTTATCTATTTATTCTGCTACTTTCTGTGACTAACATACTTTGGTTAAATTATTTTAACATCACTTCTTTGGAATACTTGGTTTCTATGGAACAGACTACTTGAACTCGCCCAGTTCCCATCCTATGCCTAAGGACATCATAGTAGGGACACCAACCAAACAAAACCCATGTAAAGCAAAAACTGAATTCCTCCCTGCAGTCACTTCCAAAAAGCCTATCAGATACTGTAATTCAGAAGCATAACACCTCACATATCCAAAGAAGCTAAATCTTCAGAGGCAAGCTTCCTTATGTATAAATATTATATATTTTCACTGAATGTCATTTTAACACAGTAAGCTACATAAAACCCAGAACAAAACCAAAACAGAGCACCTTTACATTAAAAAATCCCAACCTAACAGGAAAAATTCTATCATCTATAACCACTTCCAATTCCCTGCATCTACAGTAGTACTGAAATTTTCATCCTAAAAGTATCATTTCAGTCTGAAAGTAACTGGCAGCAGTAGTGAGTGGTTGTATTCTATATGGTCAAGAGACGAAACATACTTTGTCTATGGTTTTCTTGTTATCAGATTTTTCCCTCTGAGTTCCACTTCAGATCTTAGAAAAGCCAGCAGTTCAACTGGTTTGCATTCCTGTGGAGCCTACATTGTCTGTCTGCTCTTACTTCATGCCTGCACTACTCTCCTATTGTTTATACCCTTTCTACTCATAACAGCCCCAATCTGGTGTTCACTTATTTTTTTCCAAATAAGCAGAACATTTTTCCACAGTCCCCACTTCTAGGAAAATGGAACTTTCTGATAGAAAGTTTCTGAAATAACTCAGTCCAGAGCAATTAACTGGCATTAAAAAATTCCAGTTTTTACATCAATCTTTGTCAAAGAACTGAACAACTGACACCACAGTTTTAGCAATGCAAGGTTATAACCCATAACAATAGACAGTGCTGCCAGTTCCACCTTCTTAATACATTTAGGAGAACTAAAAAGGTACCCAGGGTCAGACTGCAAGAGAAATCAAGGTTAGAGGGCTATTAAAAAAAATAAAAATTATTTTAAACAAATTTCTTTTACCTTGCCAAGCCACCATAATCCAATCCTTCTTCTCCTCTGAATATAACATATAGTCTTCTCCTCAAATCATAGGGTTTTAATGCCATAATCTATTAAAAAAAAACCCACAAAAATAATTAATAAGTTATAAACTATGAATTGTCACTACATCACTCATTCAGATTTAATTTTATTTTGATACAGAAATGCTATATATGACAAATGTTACACAGGTTTGCCAAGTACTTAGACCATCTCATGGAAAATGCAATCAATGAACTACACACAAAAATACCAAATTGGACTTAAAATCCTTTAACAACAGACTGCCAGCAAGTGGGAGAGAATATCTGGAAAGGACTGCTATATGGTGTCCTGTTCTTACACTCTTCCTAAGGCAGTCATTATTAAAGGAAAATAGGCAAAAAGGCACCTCATCTGATATATATGATTTTTGGTTTTAGGCAAATCACTTAAAGAAGTAATTTAATCCAGAATAAGTGTAATACACTTTCATTAATATATGTTCTTTACTTATAGAGAATCCCTCCCAGAAGGTTTTGATGTGGTGACAGCAGCAAGAATTTCCATTGTTACAGAGAAAGGAGGAATATCATACATTGGCTGCAGACTGTAAGAGATTAAGAACTGTAAGCTTCAATTACACAGATTTAACCTTTGAAACACAAAGCAGAACACCAGTTCTAACTGGAGAAAGCAACATATTGTAACATATCTAGCCACACACAGGAATCAGAAAAGCAAATCTGATGTGGTTGATACAGTAGACAATGTGGTTAAGCTACGGAACTCATTGCCACAGGAAGCTGTAGATGCAAAAAGTTCACAAGAGGAACACAGACAAGCTCACTGAAGAGAAGTCCCTTGAGAATTATTAAAATACTCAGAAACCACATCAAGCTTGAGAGGCATTTCAATTGTAAACAGTTGGAAGCTGAAAGATCATTTGGTAAAAACATTATATACAATACTTCTGTTCTTACAGTCCTACCAAAGAATTTCTCACTGGCTAATACCAGAGGAAGATTACTATGCCTAAAGGACCATTAGTCTGAACTGGCTACAAGCATTTTTGTCTTGATAAACAAACACAGTAATTTTTGCAGGCTTACTTGCTGGAAGGAATCCTCAAACAAAGTCTGTCTGGATACATTGATTTTCACATGACTTGGCAGCGCATTGGACTGTAATCATAAGGCAATAACATTAAAAGGCAGTATATATAAATGTAAACTCATGTAGTTTCAATAAGTAAATAATTACTAAATCAGTACCTGACACAAGTAACGGAAATGAGCAAGTTTCCACCTAAAGCTACGCTCGTAAGCAATCTGTGGCCCTTTATTTCTGTAAGGAAAAATATTTGAGAGACGTTAACCACAGAGACATCAAACAGTACTTTCAATGCTAAACAACAGCATGTAGATATCAAAAATACACAAAAACTTTTATTGCAAGATGCAATCAGAAACAAAATGCAGCTGATGGTTTGGTATGCCAAACCACCAAAGGTGGAAGGGTCCTTTCCACCAACCACCCCTTCCCCTTTTTGGTTTTGTTTTTTTTTTTTTTGGTTTAAGATGTAAATCAATTTACTAAATTGAGAAATTTAGAGCTCAAGAGCATATCAAATCCCTGTTAAACTTGTAAAAATTCCAAGTCACCTAAAGGAGAGACACCATCTTCACTGAGAGAAAGACAACTAAGTTAGGCTTCATAAATTCAGCTGCTGGTGGAACTATGAAGGACTTTCTAGTGCAAACTATAGGTTCTTTGAACGAAAGGTCATCAACATGTCATCAGAAGCCCTACCCTACATAAAAGACATAAAGACAGCCACTATAGGTTGGGTCAATACTTCTAACTAAACTATTTTAAAGTTTTTTATGCAAACTTTTTAAGAAATATTCAGAACTACTTTGTTTAGACATTATCGTTGCTAGAGTGTGTATAATTATAAGCAATACTCATAATGATCATTTGTTGTTTCTTTAAAAAGCTTAACTGTTACTTCCATTAGTTCAATACTCAAGCTTACCCCACTTCCCCTCCCTATTTATAAAATGATTATAATCTTGGTATTCAAAAAGTGTAGAAAAACTATTGAACATCAGAGCAGTACAGCAAAGGGTGTCATAAATAAACTGACAATTAAAGCTTAAAAAAAGATTAAATTTATATAACAAGAATTTGTTCATAATTTTGTGTGTAATTCCAGCTAAAACTGTAGATTGTTTTATAGTATGAGAAAACTTCACTATTAAACTATAACAAGGTAAAAACATTCAAAAATATATTTAGTTTCTCACTTACACAGAAGATTTCCCAGTACGAGGATCATTGAATGTGGTCGTTCTTGTATTATGATCAACAAAGTATCTGACACCTTCTCTGGTATATCTGATTTCCCAGCCCTCTGGAAGAGGGTCCTCATTTTGTAAACTGCAGAAGAAATTTCATACAGTGAGGTTTCTCCCACATCAGGATAAAAAAGAATTAAGCATGATCTTTTTTATATACACACCTACCCTTGGGTTCGAGGGTCTTCCCACTGTGTTGTCTTTGTGTTATGATTAACAAAATACACCCTATCATTTGAATCCACTCTCCTTTCTAAGGGAGAAAAAAAAAAGAAAAGAAAAAAAGCCAGTATATAACAATTGCATTCCAAATTTCTGTAACTGTCACTTCCTGAAATCAACAGCTAATTAACTTACCCCAACCTGGTGGTAAAGGCCCAAGTGGATCATTTTCTGCTGACAACATCGAAGCCTATTTAAAAACAAGAGGACTTCCTGTTAGGCCAAATATTATTCCTATTTTTTTCTTAATGTGTTTTAAAATTATTGCTAGTTCTGCAAACTAATCTGGTTTTGCAAAGAAACATAGATTATATGATAACAAGATATGATTTGCACACTTGCCTCCACTGTTTCCAACTCAATATATCCCTTTCCCTTCCTACAGCAAACTTGAGAGGCAAGGTCTCACAAAGAGGTACAGTTCATCGAAGGTTTGCGGAAACACGTATCAGCAGATAAGCACAATGCTGTTGCCTGAGAACACGTTTTACCATAATAAACATTTGCAAGCACAGAGAATACTGCCAGCATAAGGGGTTTTGCTTCCTCAATACACGATGACTTCTCTGGATGTTTGGCTATTTTCAGACTTTATCATTTTTTGAAAATGCGGCTGCATTTGTTAAAATATGCTGATGGGTAAAATTGTACCAACATATGGTAAGGTTAAAAGAAAAAAAAAAAAGAAAAAAACGGATTAGGTTATTATGTAAAACCACGCTAAGCTCATAATATACTGTAACCTTGCAGAAGTCTCCCAGTAGCTCCCAAAAATACAAAACATAGGGAAAAAAAACAAAAGGCAGAAATCCCACAGACTGTAGGATCCATGCTCTGATTTATAACTAAAAGCATCCACCCCTAAAGTTTGGTAGACACAAAATTTTTTCATGTGTATGTGCAGAATGGAATTTTGATATATGGGAACCAAAGAGTATCTTAGGAACACCTTGCTACTAATACTGCTTTATAGCATTTGCAGTACAAAAAGTCAAATCCACTTAGGGGTTTACAACAGCAAATTCAGGCAAAACAAATCTATGATATTTTTCCTGTGAAAGAGAAACAGAGCAAGGATCAGAAGGAAATGCATTAGTTACACTCAAAATCAAGCTGCATATTTGTTCCAATCACCAACTACTACATGTGAACAGAGAATTATCATTATCTCAGCAGCAAATTCAGTTAACCTTTTCTGCTTTTGAGACTACACAATCACAATGACCCTCTAACCAAAGACTTTTCTGTGGTGAGTATAAAAAAAGAACAGTGCACAAAAGCAAAATGCCAAACAACTGAACAGTGGTACAATTTAGAGATTTCCAACCTTCTTAATAGGCCCAAGGATTTGTGTGTGGCTGCTGGCCACACACAGCTGTATATTTAACAGAACACACTGAAATAGTAGGCAGTGGCATGGGGTGAGGCAGATTCAATACTGAAAGGACTACAATAAATTAATCCAGGTAAAAATGAAAGTAACTAAAATAACTACAGCCTATCTACTCTTCTTCCTTTACATAGTTTAGCCTTAACCACTCAAGGTAATTGAAACATTCTCTTACTCACTGAAAATATTCATCTACTTTTTCCCCAAAAATAAAATACAATCTCAGTCATAAACTGCTATATTGGCAGAGTCCTGATATGTCACCAGAGGATGAAAAGTTAGCTAGAGTCTGACCCTAACTATTCTAGAAGAAAAGTATACAGAAACGCTAAAGTAAAAAACTTACACTTTTTTCAATATAATTTCAATTTTTTTCCCCCCAACAAACTGTGAGTTCTATCTATGCAACTGATATAATACTTAGAAAACAGAATTCTAAAGAGATGCAAACAGTCACATTATCTTTTCTCTTCCTTCAGGTATATTCTGCTTCACAAACAAATCCTCATTTAATGATTCTAAGGTCAGATGGAACATTTTAAGAAATGAGTCTGTGGTTTTCAGTAAGAGTTATCATTTAAGGAAGGAAGAAACATAATTTAATTTTAAAAATGTATTGTTCCCTGAAAGAATAAATCCAGCTCAAAAAAAAACCATATTGGCATCAGGAAAAGTGGGAGTTTTCTCTTTATGCAACTGATCACAGTAGTACACAAGTACAAAACGTTGGTCAGGAAGAGATCTTGGCTGGATGTGTTTCAGTGGTGATTCTTGGATTTGCATTGAAAGTTACCAATGTGTAAAAGTACCTGAAGGAGGGTGCAAAAAGGATGGAGCCAGGCTTTTTTCACTGGGGCACAGTGGCAAGACCAGAAGCAATGGGCACACACTGAAACACAGAAGTTCCCTCCGAACATCTGGAACCACTTTTTACTGTGAGGGTGACAGCACTGGCAAAGGTTTCCAGAGGGGCTGTGGAGTCTCTATCCTTGGAGATATTTAGAAGACATCTGGACACAGTCCTGGACAGCTGGCTGTAGGTGCCCTTGACTGAGCAGGGACATTGGACCAAATAGCATTCAGAGGTCCCTTCCAGCCTTGACCATTCTATCTTCCTCTAATTGCATAAGACAAATTGACTTTGATGCAGAGCTCCAGGAGTTAATTAGTGGTGATGCATGTTTCTGCTATTGCTAGTGACAAGATACAATGTCCAATTAGATAATGAGAGGCTGAGAATTCTTAAATGTAAGAATACTGCAGCATCCTTTACTTCAGAGGTGTATGTGAATAAAATCCATCAAATTCAAAGTTAGATCTGCAAATGCATAGAGTCCTATTCCAATGAAACTGTTTTAGACTTGTACTTCAATGGTTTCTTCTTTAAAACACTCCAGCTGTACTACATATCACTTACAAAATCTCGGGGATTGGATCATTTTTTAAGAGGCCAAGCACAATTGTTAAAGTGCACTGTTTAGAGTGACAGTGACATGCAGGCACCATCATTCTTAACCCTGAAAAAACAACTATCCTATTTATCCAATCACAGATGGGAAAATCTGGCTCAAGGAATATCCTCTTTGAAGCTACTCATATTTTCTTCAGGCAGAAGTGAGCAACTATTTGAGAGAAATGGAAAACCATGTAGGAAATTCCAGAGCTGAACCAGACGCATAAGCTTCAAAAGTAAGCTCAAAGTAAAAGAATTGCCACTTGTATTAATGAATGACTCCTAATCATTAAGACAGTTTTGAAGGCCATTTAATGTTCAAAATGTCCATAACTCAGCCTTTATGTTCCTTTTCAGTTTAAGGGACTGCTTTATTTTTACCTTTTATTACTGTAATGAAAAATCTTAAGTAAAATGCAGTACATAAAGCTCCATTAGGGAACAGACTCAGAAGGAAGTACTTTCTGCCCTTGTAGACGATTTTTGTTAGCATTTTTCAAAAGAATCAGAATCTGAATTACTGATGCTGAACATCTCATAACACATCTGGTTGAATAGTTATAAAATCACTTTTTCTAAAGTTAAAGAACAAAAAGTATATCTATACCTCTCTACTAATTTCTAAATTTTATGTAAAAGTTACCGAGTAGAGGTATCGTTGGTTGAATTGTTGCATAGCTCCCTGCAGTTGATTCCGTTGAGATTGCCACTGCTCAAAGTTCCTGACTGATTCCATTGTTGGTCGCTGCCATGTTGTCGTTCTGGTGTTGTGGTCCACATAGTAAACTCTCCCACGATCATCAACTCTTCTTTCCCAGCTTTCAGGAAACACAAATGTTAACAGCTAAGTTTTTCAGTAATGTTACTAGCTGATATTCTTTTTATGCTTAAATTCCTAGGCAGTGCTTGAACGAACTACTGGAGTCACAGGCATGATTTAAATTTCTAAAGGTCACAAAAGTACTCCCCAATTTAATTGGTAGAAGAACAACTACACAAAGTACATACTTCAAGCAGTAGCATGCCCAGCTCTCTGTCACTGCATTTTTAACTCTGTAAATTTCTGTGACTGCAAGTAACGTTGGCAGATTCCACAGAAAACACTTTGCTGGGAAATCTGAGGTTTGGAATCAGGGCACTACACTCAGTGGCACCACCTAAATAAAGGCAGTCATATGTGCATTATTTTATGTTTAAGTTTTAAAGGAAGAACAAAATACTTTAGTAGCTGTATTTCAACAAGTGATCAGAACAAGTGACATATACAGTACCAACATTCCTATAACAATAGCTACAATTAATATAATTCCACATTAAATGAAAGTTAAAATTTCTTATTATATGATGCACAATACAGTTTTCATGAGCTGCTGTTTGTGTCCTGCAACAAACAAATAAAAAAATAGTATATTTATCATATTGAATTCAAAAATGTCCACATTACCCAGGAGGTAAGGGCTGTGGTCTTTCCCACGTTGTAGTTCGTGTGTTGTGATCAACATAATAGGTTCTACCATGAGGATCCTTTCTTTGCTCCCACCTTCAAGACAAAGAGACTTTCACATAAATCAAGGTGAAAATACTTCCTTGGGACATCCCATTAAGACAAAAAAGTACCTTGGTATTGAATGAAAATATCAGGATCCAAAACTCTTTCTAAAACTCTGAAGAAAATTCACACTAGAATATGTATCAGTTACTTCCTATTCAACTGATATCATCATAAAGACTTCTTCAAAAAACTTGGCACATAAAATGAGTATACATCAATACTCACAAGCATTTTCAAGTTACATTTAAGCTATCTGAGAACAAAGTAATTAATTACCTGCTCAATACTTGGATGATAAAATAACCTCATTCAAAAAGTGCTTAGAGATGCATTCTTTGCATTTCCAAGTTCATGCCTCTCTCAAAAAAAGAGGGAGTTTACATCTTGAAGCTCTGTTCCCTATATCCAACAAACAACAGCATCTTTCAGAGTGAGCCTGAAGTGTGTGCTATCATATGGTTTTCCTGTGTTTCTATTTCCTGTCCTGGTAATCCCTGGGGATTATTTCTTCTGTTTAAGTTTTGCAAAGCAAATTTACATTGAAGATGGAGCTAGGACCAAACATTATCAAGAACTGAAGTTTCATGATGCTGAGAACTACCATAATGCAACAAAAAATCTGCAGTTGATACATGATACATGTTTGGTTTTCTTACATATATACATAATTAGTTCCTCAAAACACAGGCAGAACACCTTGCCTCCTTCTCCCTGGTCTGGGTGTGCATTTCCTCACTATTACAGTGTATCCTATAAAACTCCTGCAAAATGCTTTCTGCAGTTTAAGAGGTTACATGTTAAGATTTCAAGAAGAGAAGAGAGGAGAGGAGAAGCACCATTTTACAGAGTTACTACGGCAAGACATAATGGAGACTCAATTAGGCTGTGGGGTGGAGTGGAGAGGGGCATGGGGAACCACGAAAAAAAACCACACATGGAAACGTGATCAGGGAGGAACGATGAAAAAATGCATTTGACCATAGTGTGTACTATGCCTGGAACTCATGATCCTGTCCTCAATGGGAAAGCATGTAATTAATTTAAAAAAAAAGTGTGTGAAGGGGGGATACCCACAGGAGTTCCCACCTATAAAAAGTTTCCATTGTCAGAGCGTCTGAAAGTTAAAAACGAGGTAACTCTTCCCCAACAATTTATATATAAAAATATATTTCTATATTTTTAAATGTTTGTTTTCATGTTTATCTAACTGCAGAAACTCAAGTGAAGTGTCACTAGTAATTACTGAACCTTCTTCACAGGGAGTAGGTACACGAGAGGCTCTCTGAAAGATCAGCTACAATGACACAAGGTGTACACAGTCTGGGTTAAGAAACAATTTCTGGGATCAGAAAATGCTAAAATAGTTAATATTTACAATATTATGGAAATGTCAGTATTTCCAATTAGTTACTGAAGATATTTTTTCACCCAAACATGAAAGCATCTATAAAACAATGTTAAGTTATACACATATATATATACACACACTTGAGTATGTACTATATTTTCATTTTTAATTTTGTATTTAGGACTATAGAAGAGGTTTCTAACAGTCTAGTAAAATTAAAATATTCTAGCTATCCTTACACGAGAAGCATCTAAGAGGATTTATAAACTAGTTTAATGATTTTTACTTCTCTGTGTTTTGGTTCCTACAAAATTCTCACAGTTTAGGTAATAAAAGAGTAACAAATTACAGCCCAAATAAGTTTGAATATATGAAATGAAAAGTCTTCACATCCATAATGCCCAAGAGTTTGTCTATTGAGATCACAATACCATGTCAGCAAACCAGTTATCAGCTGTTACTTTCTGGGACAAGAGTAGCCAGTTATAGCATCAGCACAAATCCCATTTTAGATCAAATAACCCTGTCTCAGCCATCTGACCTGCATTTGACAATTCCAGTATAGAATTGGTTGCTAGTGTAGAATTAAGTGTCTTTTTCTTTATACTCACATTCAGATGAAACATAATTATAGCATTAAAAACAAAATCACATACCCTGGTGGCAAAGGTTCTGTACTAGCACTACCAGGCTGCTGTCTTATGGGTTCTGCAGATGCACTTGAGGTGGAGGAGGATTCCCTTGGTTTTGCTGCATCTGCAGCTATACTGTTTCGAGCATTAGGCTGAGCACAGTCTGTTGCAGCTGTAGGTTCTAGTCCAGCAGACACAGCAGGTAATGCAGAAGTGTGGCTTTCAGAACTAGTTGCTTCTGTTGCTGACTGAGGTTCTACTGTAGTGTTAGTGCAATCTGAAGACATGGGAGCTTCGACTGAAGTCACTGGAGCCTCAGAGACAGAAGAATTACCCGCTTCAGGTGCAGAGGAGGATGACTCGCCATTAACTGAGAAACAGGAAAAAAAAAATTTGTGTACCAGAATCTGATGAGATTTATTTTTCAAATTACCAACTTTTGGAGTAAAGAAATTGAAAGGACTATGTTTTAGTTGTACCTAAATGCCACAAGCAGCACTTTGTCTAAGACAACAAAAAGTCACAATGCATCTGCCTTCAGTTAAAACTTAGTCTGCAAGCCATTCTCTACACTTCCCTGTTAAAGTAATTTCTTAGTTCCTGCATATCTTGGTCAACTCAATGTTACACTTTACTCTTGATTAGCAAGAGGCACTCATCTGCTTTCCAGAAAACAGTTTGTTTTCTTTTTTAAATTTTACACTTATATCAAGTTCAAAAAAGTATCTTGATCAGTATGACACAAAAACCAAATATTATGAGATTACTCTCTGAGATTTGAAAAACTAAGAGGCATTTCTTATGGATCATTTCTTTCCTTATTCAGTTGACGTACAGAACTGTACAATTAACCCTACACCTCTGTGCAACTTGGAAAAAATCTCCCTCCAAAAGTGGGATTGAAATATAAAAATTATTATTGGCTAACACATTTTATATAGTTCAATGACTGAAGAAAATTACTTCAGTCACAAAGTAAATCAATTCTATCTTTTAAAGAACAATACAAATGTAATCCAACTCAAGCAAGCATAACCTCATAAAAGGTTTCAAGCAGGCAGAGGGTGCTAAGAAGGTTTTATTATTCCCAAAACCACTTGGCCAACAATACATCAACACCAATCATCTGCAGAGATTAACAGAACAGTATCTCAGCACAACAAGATCTTGTCTCAGACAAGTGAAATCAGGTATGGCAGTCTGTAGGACTCCCACTAAAAGTCAAGGCCCTACAAAAAGCAGTGCAACATCATTCTCAACTTTCATTTTCTGTATCACTAACTGACATCATACACTGACAATTGTATTTATACTTAGCAGTTTGTACCTGTTTTGGAGTTGGAATAATTCTTCTACAGGACTAAAGATAATATGCAACATAGATTTCAAACAATTTTCTACCTTACAGCATATTATCACCTTACCATGCTAAGGACTGAGGCCAACACAATTGCTCTGCACTCATAACCTTAATGATATAGATCTGCAAAATTTAACCCTATGCTAGTGTCTATAAAATCCTGTTCCATTATTTTAAAGAGTTCCTTTGCTTTAACTCTGCATAACACTCTTAGAAATAAAAAAATAGCTAGATTCTATGTATTACTTGCAATATGTATATAATGGCAGTAATTTTTTGCTTTCACAGACGGTCAGAAAAGCAGGTCAAAGAATTACAAACAATAAAACTGTTCGCAGGAATGAATTTAAATTAGTGAATCAGTTTCTTTAAGGAATTATCACTGCACCATATATATTTTCTTGATATGCATAATGATAAGCATGATTTTACAGGCAGTAAAAAATTTGTAAAATCTTTAAAGGCATTGCTTTTTCAGCACAGTTATTCCAGGGTAATACATCACTACTTCCAGATGGCAGAAAACAAATTAACTACATTAAGACCTGTCATGATTTTATATTACTTCAAGCAAATGGAAAGCATGACATAAAAAAAATCATAACCACCAACAATTTGATCCAATTTCCTCAAACTTTTGCTTAAACTAGCAACAACTTTACTTAAACAGGAAAAAAGCCAACTGAAATTCCAGCTTTTGTTAAAAAAAATTCAATTCATCTACATTAAAGAGTGAATAGAATTACATAATAAAGTTAGAAGCAAAATAACTGACAAATCATCTCCTCTATTAGTAAGTTGATCTCCAAAACAGATCTATAAAACATTACATCAGGTGATTACCTCACCAATTATGCCTAAAACAGCAATTCTGGCAATATCACATAAAATTACAATCCTGCTATGCACAACAGTGGGGAAAAAAGTGCCATCAACAAATGCTGGAGACCTGCTTTATGCCTTGCCTTAAAAACATCTCCACCAGTTGCTACAGTAGTTGAAAAATGTTATATCAGTGCCTCAGTACAAGCTCAGTGATGATTACATCATTACCATTTGAACAAACCAATTATTTTTCAATTATCCTATCCTCATACAGATTTCAAATGGATCTCTCCACTGTTGAAGAAAAAGGGAGAAATGCCTAAATAATATATATGCCCTCTAGCCTCAAGTAGAAAAGAGAGGGGAATCAAATTAAACTTCTCCAAATAGAGAAAAGCTTCAGACAAGGCCTAATTTAATTATTACCTTTTAAAGTTCATAATTGTTTCTGCTATCTTCCAACTGTACTCACATTTTCCACTCTATTACAGAAAGTTTGACAGTCTACGTTCTACTGTTTAGTAACAGCTTGCCTATTTCTATTTAAGGTTATCTTTTCTCTCTGCTATCACTGTAATCTCAAACAGCTGAGAAAAGACAAAGTGCTTAGAAAGCACAGTCATTATTAGATGCAAAGTTTTGCCAGAGGAACAAAAATTTAAAAATACTTTATTTTCACTTGTTTTACTGTTTTGAATGTTAACTGTAGTCAGAATCAACATTTTTGTGTTTGAGATGAAAATTAAATTCAGTATTTGCCACTACATGTTTTGAAGCAGCATATCTTTCAAAAAAAACTGAAGGCAAGGAGAGCCTGCGACACATCTTGACTCAGAGCACAACAGTTCACTGACTAAATCAGATTTATGTTATTTAACTACAGTTACTCAAATTAATTGTCAAAGAAATCTTATTTTTCCTCCAGACAATCAGTAATACGTTTTTGTTATCTGGGACAGAGGCAGGGAAGTTTTTGGACACTTTAATCTTTCTTCATCAGAGAAAAGAACTGATGGGAGACTGTGAAACACAATACATTTCAGAATGAGGTTAGTGCAGAAAAATTTACAAAAGCGGACAAACAAGATTATAAACTCTAGCCATAAAACATCCTTTCAGTATTTTTGAAATTCAACAAAAATTGTACAGAAAAAGTGGCCCAACTCCAGGTATACTTCAATCAGACAAAAAAGCCTTACGGAACATGTTCTCTTAACTCTCCCTTTCTTACCAGTGCTGTTGACAGGCTGAGCTTCAAGTGGTTTTGGTACTGGTGTATTTTTAGGTCTGGCTGCAACATGAGTAGGAGATGGTGTGCTGTCTCCATTAACAGCTTCTATACAGAATGTATTCTGTACTACAGAGTTGGAAGGTACTTGATTGTCTATCCCATTAGAAATGTCACAAGCCGATCTTGGTAAAAATAAAAGATCATTTCAGGTTATTACAAACAACAGTTACACAACTAAACCAAATCCTACACTAAATCACGCTATAGAAACAAATAAAGAAATGGCAGTAGTCCATAAATCACAACAGTTTATGGAATGGTGTTTGCAGCCTGGGCAACAGTCAAGTGCAAGACCAAAACAACTAAGAAAAAGGCAAAAATTAGTTTTGAGTATTTTAGATACTTATAATAGGTAAGATTTGCCATTTTCACTTCCTCTTTTACTTGTAATGACATACTGGAATTGAGTTGAACAGATTGATGCACCTGCCACATCTTCCAAAAAGGCCTTAGGAACTCTTCCAAGGTGCAGCTATGAGCAAGAAAACTTTTTCTCTCATTAAGCAACAGGAACAATCAGGTTTGTTAGTCATATCACTAAAAATAGTTATACCATAAGAAAGCAACAAAATTCTCCCTCAGTAAAAGGAAAATAAGATGAGCTTCTCTATGCTCATCATTGGCAGGATGGGACATTATGATGACAAATACACACAGGCAGCTCTGTGTTTACAAGGCCACACGGAAATAAATGCAGTTTGAGGGCTTGTGAATGGAGTTTTGTTCAATTACACTGGTTTTTTACTTAAATCTATTCCAGAATGCTTAAAGCCACCCACAAGAGATACATATTTTGAAAATTACACTCAGTGCCAACTCCCTATCTTCTCGAGGAATAGAGGCTAAATAGTGAAGAAAAGTTAAACAGATGACAAAAATGTTAGAATAGGTAGAAGTCCAACTTTGCAGACTAAGAAGGGAAGAAGCAGCATTCCCATGCTACCTTATCTACCTCCAAACCAGTAGTATAAACAGAGAATTAAAGTATTATCCCTTTTCAACTCTGTACTACAAACCCAATTTAGCTTCCAAAAGACATGCAGAGAAGCTACCTTAAAACTTTTCTTCCTCTCTTAATTTTAAAACTGTAAATCAAAAGTGTTGGATAGTTGTATTGAAAACTACTGTAAATTAAAATATCAACATCAAGAGCAGGATCCCAGTAAAAGACCTATCTCCAGCAACAACAGCTGAATGAAATTATTGTTACTACTGTTTCAAAATGGTATGCAGATGAATTTCAAATCACTTGTAGCAGTCGCAAACCTTTCTAATGAAAACAAAGGATAAGCAGCTTTTTATCCTCACTCCCTCATACTGGGCACCCATCGGGGAACAGAGACAAACCTCCATGTACTGAAAAAAAAGAATCAAGTCGAGCATACAAGGACAAATGTGTCCTTGTCACTAAAATGCATAGCAACTGCATGTTTTTTCACTCCAACGGGTGTCAATAACTTACACAGCAAGGGGCTCATGTAGGGTACCTGAGCAGGGCAGTAACATTAAATTGTTCTGAAATGGACCTGTTTGTCTTACTAGTGGTAAGGGAGCAAAAAAACTACTCCTACTTCTCTCCAGACAGTCCTTGAGGTGGTATAACAACAGAGAAGACAGTAACGAAGTTCTAAATTGGTCCCAAAGTCTTTTTCTTGCCACTTCAGGGTGGAGCAGGCAAAGCCTTTGCCCCAGTGTTATGAATACTGCTTGCGAAACTCAACAAGTCTCTTAAACAAGTTCCTGATCTAAACCTTAAAAAGGGTGAGGGGGAAGTAATTCAGGCTTTTTTTTTCCTTTTCCTTCCGTTCAGATGCTACATTGCAACAAGATGGTAGACATTAGTAGAAACAGTTCTTAAACAACAAAAGAAAACAAATGGAATAAGTACATAAAACCACACTGAACCACTGCTCCCTAATTTCTTCTGAAGAATTCAATAGATTTTCAATCAGTTGACAGCAAAGAACAGAAGTGTCAATTTAATTTTCTCAAGTTAAATTATGTAATTATCAAACAAGTAATGTTTCTAAAACCTATGGCAACATATTTTAGACCTTAACAGTAAAAATCTATTGCCTTCAAAAAAATGAAAAGAAATCCAACCAAACAAAAAAACCACATCAAAACACAAACAATCCAAACATTTCAACGGAAAAATTTGCTAATATACGTCATATATCACAAAACACAAAAATAAATTCCAACCTGGATGAACTTCTTGCTGAAGCATCTCTGCTTTCATGCACAGCTTCACCATTTTGCTGAACTTCTACTGAACAGTAAGAAACAAATTCAACAGAAATATTTTATTATATCTGTTTGAAATCTTAATTAAAATATTACCATTTGATTTAATTGTTTTAACTTACTGGTCGCTGATGAACTGAGATTTGTAAGAGATTCTTGTTCAACAACCAAACCATCTAGCACAACTGTCAGTTCACCTGTTTGCACCATGCCACTCTTGTTTTCCAAAGAGAGTTTCAACTGTTCTTTCACCTTCTCCACTAAAAATGGAGTTGGGGTGGGTAGGGGAAGAGAAGGAGAGAAGGGATAAAGGAAATATTAAATTCTAAATCACATTCATATTAAAAGAGACTTTCAACACAAATGTGATGTATGTATTTAGTTCTATAATATATATTCAGATGATTCAAATCAACACAGTAATCACTATGGAGCTGTGTACATTTACATCTGCTGTGGATGAACACACAGTTTATTTTAAAAATTAATTGACCACTTATATAGTATATTCTATAAATATGCTATAGAATTCATGTGGTTTCAGTACTTTCTTGTTAATGATTTCCCAGGTTTGCTATTTCCACTAAGCCCCTTTGAAATTGGCTTAAAGTCAAACAACTTCTGAAGTACACATCCAAATACTACAAGTCATTGGGAACTTCACTATAAAACCAAAGCTTATGTTCATTTCTTGTATCCCCTTCCAAAACTAATTCTAAAAGACCACTGAAGAGAACATGTTTTTGAGGAAGAAGTAAATGCAAAGACTGCATAGAGTGCTTCCTGATTTTTTAAAGCTATTTTTAGTAAACCCTTACTAGGATTTTCATAGATGGTGACTCCAAAGATTAAACAGTAACAGAGAGGATGCCTCCGGTAACCAAAAATTAAATCAGAAACTATTCTCACCGAAAGAAACTTTCAGATAATTGATACATGGTGCAATAAAAGAATTCAATCTGACTGACAAGCAATGGTCACATTTGCAGAGAGACATAAATAATCCAGAGGTAAAACATGCTGTGGATGCTGCGTAATTCTCTCTAAATCAACTATTACTAGTACAACGGTTAAGCTACACGTCATAAATTCAACATGGTAAGCTATGAGTTCACGTTAATCAGGTTAAAATTGTTAAGACCTTTCAGTAATTGTGGTCTCAGATTAAAAGATTAGTTTTTTAAGACATACTACCATATTTCCCTCCATATGATAACATTCCAAGTTAAAGTTAAAGCTCACTGTGCACTCCTGTGCATTAAACTAGCATTTCCTTATTTTTTTCCTCTTAACATGTATCCTAATTGAACAGTAAACATGAAAACAGGGAAGGCTACCATAACTTATTGCCAAACACCTTCAAGCTGTAACTTTGAAGAGCAGGTTCAATGGATTTCAATGGGCTTTAAATCTCTGGAACAAGCACAAAGCTCTCAAGTCTTCCAAATTATTGATCTAGCAATGAGCATTTGGAAAATGGTACTACGTCAAAGAGGAGAAAGAAGAAACTAGCCTACCACAGAGTTGTTAAATTAACATATTTATGAATCCTAACTTTTGCAAAGGCCGGTTGGTTTAACTGCTGCTATTTTAACAGGTTATCTTCCTAAAACAGATCAAGAGTTGGCTGTAGTTCAACTGAGTTGGCAAGAAAACTGTGAGGTGTGTGGGCTGCAATTCAATACTGGTGGTGTTTAGCAGAGAAAGTAACCACACTAATTCTAATTTCTGCATTTAGTGGACTTCCCCTTTCCATCTTCTTGAGCAAAGATCCTTTCAAGTGCTTCATTTTACATTAGGTATCAATAATTGATGACTGAAGTCTATGAATCAGACTATTCTACCACTGAATTCTTGGATAATCTAGCATGTGTCAAACTACTGACTTGCCAAAATCAGAAACACTGCACATAAATTACTTTTGGTGCAATGTGCAACAAACTCAGTCAACCATTCCCTGAAAGAATTTGTCAAGTTGTCAGATCCTATCTCCCCTGGATCTACAGTAAAAAAACATTAACTATTTTGCTAGAAATAGTTAAAATACTAATTAATCTCTTTTTTTTGCTAGCATCATTAAAACACAGTTTTTTTCTGATATATTTTTCTTATTTAAAAAGCAAATTTTCTTCTTAACTATGGAATCTTGTGCAGAATCTTTATAATACTGAAGAAGCTCCACTTAATTTTGGATTGTTTCGATTTTCTGTGAGAATCAGAAAAATGAAGCTTTTTTTTTTCGGCTCTCCTTTCCCCCCACTTCCTAAACAGAGATCTCAGATTTGTATGTTTAACTTGTGAGAAAGGTTAAGATTGGTTTAGCTGGAATTCTACTGCCACTCTGGAGTGGAATTTAAAGTGTGGATTCACCATCTTCTTGTACTAAAGAAAAAAATTTTGAAAAGCAAATTAGAAGACCTGTTTTAATTCTATTAAAGACATTTAAAATTAGAAGTTACATAGAAAAAACAATCTCTAATGTACTAAAAGGAAGTTCTCAATTGTTTCATTAATCAATGGTTTATACTGATTGCTGGTCAGCTAAATTATGAGAGAAAATATCCAGCCTTTTTATTAGTGACTCCAGAAAAGGAAAATACGAAAAGTTACATGGCTTTTCTAAAAGTTTAACTTTTTTTGGTACCAAATCTAAAACAGATCTTCTAGAAAATTAGTTATTAGTTTGCTACAAAACATTGTATTTAATCACTTCTGCTTTTACTTAATTTGCAGTAACTCAAACTCTGTTTGTTTCAAAAGTATTATATCCCATTGTTACATTTAAATTGCTCTCAATAGCACAGACATCTCTAGAAGAGACAAGTAAAGACATCAACTGAAAGTCAGTTGTAATTACGTGCGTAGTTAGTAGTCTGGTTTCCAGTTTGATATACAGATTAGTAATAATAATTCTACTTTATTCAAAATATCCTTCATGATAACTTACATTTTCTATTGTGTATTTCCAAAGCTTGTCTCAAGTCTACAGTGGCTCTTCCTAATAAAGCATCTGCTTTTAAAGTGTGATGGCTCCACACTCTAAATTCCAGCGTAGTCTGTGGAGTCACATTCCTGCACATAAAATACATTTTTTTAAAAAATATATACAGATTTTAAAGTATTCGTTTTTGTAATTAGTAGTATTTGAACTTAATTCACTTTCTCATTGTATTTCCTGATACTTATGAACTAAGTTTTCATATTGCAAGGGGAAATTTTTAACTAAGAACTACAAATGCTACGATATTTATACTTAGGATCAAACTTAAAGTGCATTACTACAATAGCATTAAGTATTTGAGAAGTACCAGAATAACCTACACTAAACTCAAATCTCAGTTATATAAAACATATCTTTATTTATGAAAGGCATATTTTCCCATATTTCTCATTATTCCAGAGTTCTAGCTAAAATCTCACATTATTAAAGGAGAAAAAGGTGGGAAGTATATATAAAAAGAAAAATACTAAATACTTTTTAAAAAGGAAAAAAGAACCAAACAGCTACTTGCAAGCATGAAGAACCCTCTTAATGGGTGTCAGTTTGCCATGAAAGTATTTTTAAAACATCTTTTAGGAATCCACAAATATATACGAAACCATAAGGCATACTCACAGAAATCAGAGGGGAAAAATCAAATGATGAAGCTAAAGTAAAAATTGGAGGGAAGCAGAGAGGTAAAGGACCCAATTACAGTAGTATTATGATAACCTTTGGCATTGATCTCTCCCCTGCTCAAGAAGGAAAATGGGAATCTATGCTAGGTCCTGAAGAGTAGTTTTGCAGTACAGGGTCTAGTACTGCAAGGGTGCTCTGGGCTGTGAAAAATGGGAGTAGAAGTACTTTACTGCAAAAAGTCAAAGGCTGCACATCCATCAGTATTGATCTAATATATACAGAAAGTTATATCAGTATTGATGAAAGCAATAAGAACAACCCCCACCCTCCCAACAACAAGACTAACTCTACATTCACTTGAACATGTTGGACAATGTGGATCGTTTTTGCTGAAACAAAATATACTGCTGACCCCCAGAACTGAGGAGAATTTGATAAGTTCACTTCTCCTCAAACAGACTGGGCAACTGAAGCAACAATACCATTCCATTAGCCAGAGGAAAAGGCGGCCAGAATACCTTAAACATACATATAAGGGTAAGATCCTAACTAAGTAATACTGATGATGGAATAAGTCTGCTTGGTTGTATTATGCATCACAAATTACCTCACTTCTATCAGATCACCAGATCCTGCAAATCAAACCTGCCTCCTCAAGCAAAACTCTGGTTGCTGTGAATATACTGGTAGCTCAGTACTTGTTCTAGCAATAGCTCCTGGAAATCATCGTCAGGTCCAATACTGTATTATTCTCTTTTGCAATACCACAAAGGGATAATAAGTTCACTAAACCTGATATACTGAGAAATGCAGCACATGAATACCCTACTTGCTTCAGCTCAGGTCTGGAGTAAATAAGTAAGTGTTCCCAAGCAAGGAGTTTCCCAAAGTTCAGTAGATTGTACCACTCCTCCCTCTCTAGCACTGTTAGTTATGAGAACCTAGCATGGCTTGTACTACTAACAAAGCTGGCTATTGCACATAGACACTTCACGTGCTGTGATATGTACCAGCCCAGACTCAATGCCACTTGATAGTAGCTATCCTGTTTCTAGACCCAAGTCTGAACCAGTACAATCTTGCTTCTATAATAAGGCATTCTAGCCAATTGCCAGTTTTTCACGGTGTCATATTTAGGTATATCTACAGCCCTAGCACAGTTAAACCAAACTAAACCATAAGAAGATTAAAAAGGTCAACTATCAGGAAAAGTTGCAAGGTCACTTTTCAGTAAACTGTTTTTCAGTGCATATCCCTTAATATTTCTTCCTCATCAGAGGAAGAAATTAACTTCCTCATAACTACTACTTACCCAGCTGAGATTCTTTTCCTTTTAAAGTTGAGAATTACATGCTTACAATTAGTAACTCTTTCTAGTAAGTTGTGCTAACACAGCGCTAACAAATATCAAGACTAAAGCCTGTACAGCAACTGTATGCAAGTAACACTCTCTGTACAAAAAATATTCTCAAAACATTGTAAGAATTGAGGAAAAAAATTCATTTGAGACAAATATCATCTTATGTCTGCATTTAGACATCAACAGCCAGAGCAAACTATGTAGGCATCCAAGTTCAGTAAATATTTGCCTGCAACATCTGTCTAATAAATAGTATTAAACAACCAAAAAATCTACTTACACTGTCAGCTGCTCATCCCATTTGGGATTTGAAGAACTACTTGATTTTGCTGTTTTCTTAATTTCTCCATCTGCAGTTAATTCCGTGTAGAAAGTTGTTCCAAACCAATTCTTTTTTCGTTTCAGTTTGGCACTAGAAACTAATAAAACACATTGCTTTATCTATAACAGCACACTGTTACTGAAAAACAGATAACGTACTGCCTACTCATTGTAGGAAATGCATTGCATGGCAATGTTATTTCTCACCCTCTCTACTTCTGCTGAATAGAGAGAAGATAATGCAAAAATGGTAGCTTTTGTTTTCAAAAGCCACTTTGTCAGATAGTGGAAACCAAGTGTCACATACTCTTTTCACCACATACTGGCAGGATTGGTTGGAGAGGCGGCACAATTATTTTAGGGATAAACACTGAAAATAATGTGGGTTATTTTCTTACTGTTCTTCCCATTCTTACCTTAAATGAAAAATACCTAAGATACATCTTATGATGCATCTGAGAGATTATCAGACCTTTTTTTTTTAGTTATATGTTGTTATGAAAGCGTATGCAGTTCACGCCTATTTCAAAATGTCCCCGTATACCAAACCCTGTATATAGAGCCTCATTTCCTTGCCTGTATTATCTGTGTGGTTAACCTGTGGTTTTACACAGTTTGTTAAAAGTAAGAAATCAGCTCAGATTTCCCTTATTTAAACAGCTTTGCAGACGAACATAAAAGTTTCAGCCAAATATTCATCAACTAAGAAATAGCACTCGATCAAAGAAACTATTTTTCACCTCCAAATCACTGGTGAGTTGCTCTGTGCTCCTGAACATAAATCTGTTCTCCCACTTCCTTGCCCGGCTGAGGAAGTCACTGTAAGAACAACAGCAACTTAACTGCCAACATTTTTAAATTCTATTTCAGGCAGATGTCATCTTCAGAATACCACAACAGACTCAGAGATGTACCTATCTGCTGACTATGCCTTCTCTCTAATTCCTCCCATATTTCAGTGTGATTTTTGTTCCCACCACTTGCAAACTAAAGCAAGACTGAGTATTTTCAGACACTCAGAAATAATCCTTCCCTGTTGGTTTTCTATACAGTACTTGCTAATTCAATGATATGTGTGTGCTGATTTTGGCTGGGGTAGAGTTAATTTTCTTCACAGTGGCTGGTATGGGGCTGTGTTCTGGATTTGTGCTGAACACAGGGTTGATAATATAGAGATGTTTTTGTTATTGCTAAGCAGCACTTGCACAGAGACAAGGCCCTTTCTGCTTTTTGTACTGCTGTGCTGGCAAGGAAGTTGGGAGTGCATGGGAGGCTGGGAGGAGACACAGCCAGGACAGGTGGTCCTGACTGACCAAAGGGATATTCTATACCAGTGGACATCATGTTCAGTATATAAGAAGGAGGAAAGAGGGGAAGTTTGGAGTGATGCTCTTTGTCATCCCAAGTAACTGCTACATGTGATGGGGCCCTGCTCTCCTGGAGATGGCTGAGCAAATGCCTACCCATGGGAAGCAGTGAATTAATTCCTGGTTTTGCTTTGCTTGTGTGGATGGCTTTTGCCTTCCCTATTAGACTCTTTATCTCAACGCACAAGTTCTCTGGCTTTTACCCTTCTGATTCTATTCTTGATCCCACTGGCAGGCGAGTGAGCAAGTGGCTTCACAGGGTTGGCTGAAGTTAAACCAACAACAACAGAAGTTTAGTAAACTATCTGAAAGGGAGACATGTATCATAGAATCATAGAATTGACCAGGTTGGAAAAGACCTCTGAGATCATCAAGTCCAATCCTTGATCCAACACCACCGTGGTTAGTAGACCATGGCACTAAGTGCCACATCCAGTCTCATCTTAAAAACCTCCAAGGATGGTGAATCCACCACCTCCCTGGGCAGCCCATTCCAATTAGTCTGATTACTCTCTCCGTAAAAAAATTTTTCCTAATATCCAACCTAAACCTCTTCTGGCACAGCTTAAGATCGTGCCCTCTTGTCCTACTGCTGGTTGTCTGGGAGAGGAGACCTATGCCCACCTGGCTACAACCTCCTTTCAGGTAGTTGCAGAGAGTGATGAGGTCTTCCCAGAGCCTCCTCTTCTCCAGGCTAAACAACTCCAGCTCCCTCAGCCTCTCCTCATAGGACTTGTGCTCCAGTCCCTTCACCACCCTCGTTGCTCTTCTCTGGACCTGCTCCA